GTATGTGTGTGTGTGTATGGTGTGTGTGTAATGACCTGGTGGCGGGGCATCTGTGTGTGGTGTGTGTATAGTGTGTGTATAGTGTGTGTCTGTGTGTGTGTAATGACCTGGTGTCGGGGCGTCTGTGTGTGTGTGTATGGTGTGTGTAATGACCTGGTGGCGGGGCGTCTGTGTGTGTATAGTGTGTGTATAGTGTGTGTGTGTAATGACCTGGTGTCGGGGCGTCTGTGTCTGTATGGTGTGTGTGTACTGACCTGGTGTCGGGGCGTCTGTGTGTGTGTGTTGTGTATGGTGTGTGTGTGTAATGACCTGGTGTCGGGGTGTCTGTGTGTGTGTGTATGGTGTGTGTGTAATGACCTGGTGGCGGGGCATCTGTGTGTGTGTGTGTGTGTGTGTATAGTGTGTGTCTGTGTGTGTGTGTAATGACCTGGTGGCGGGGCGTCTGTGTGTGTATAGTGTGTGTGTGTAATGACCTGGTGTCGGGGCGTCTGTGTGTGTGTGTGTATGGTGTGTGTAATGACCTGGTGTCGGGGCGTCTGTGTGTGTGTGTATAGTGTGTGTCTGTGTGTGTGTAATGACCTAGTGTCGGGGCGTCTGTGTGTGTGTGTGTGTAATGACCTGGTGTTGGGGCGTCTGTGTGTGTGTGTGTGTGTGTAATGACCTGGTGGCGGGGCGTCTGTGTGTGTGTGTGTGTAATGACCTGGTGGCGGGGCATCTGTGTGTGTGTGTGTGTATGGTGTGTGTGTAATGACCTGGTGTCGGGGCGTCTGTGTGTGTGTAATGACCTGGTGGCGGGGCGTCTGTGTGTGTGTGTATAGTGTGTGTGTGTATGGTGTGTGTGTGTGTGTATGGTGTGTGTGTAATGACCTGGTGGCGGGGCGTCTGTGTGTGTGTGTGTGTATGGTGTGTGTGTAATGACCTGGTGGCGGGGCGTCTATGTGTGTGTGTGTGTGTAATGACCTGGTGGCGGGGCGTCTGTGTGTGTGTAATGACCTGGTGGCGGGGCGTCTGTGTGTGTGTATAGTGTGTGTTGTGTTGTGTGTAATGCCTGTGGCGGGGCGTCTGTGTGTGTGTGTGTGTAATGACCTGTGTGGGGGTGTCTGTGTCTGTGTGTAATGACCTGGTGGCGGGGTGTCTCTGTGTGTGTGTGTGTAATGACCTGGTGTCGGGCGTCTGTGTGTGTTGTGTAATGACTGTGGCGGGTGTCTGTGTGTGTGTTGTGTAATGACCTGGTGGCGGGGTGTCTGTGTGTGTGTAATGACCTGGTGTCGGGGCGTCTGTGTGTGTGTGAGTGTGTAATGACCTGGTGGCGGGTGTCTGTGTGTGTGTGTGTGTGTATGACCTGGTGCGGGGTGTGTCTGTGTGTGTAATGACCTGGTGGCGGTGCGTGTGGTGTGTGTGTGTGTGTGGTATGGTGTGTGTGTGTAATGACCTGGTGGCGGGGCGTCTGGTGTGTGTGTGTATGGTGTGTGTGTAATGACCTGGTGGCGGGGCGTCTGTGTGTGTGTGTGTGTAATGACCTGGTGTCGGGGCATCTGTGTGTGTGTATAGTGTGTGTGTGTATGGTGTGTGTGTGTAATGACCTGGTGGCGGGGTGTCTGTGTGTGTGTGTGTGTGTGTAATGACCTGGTGGCGGGGTGTCTGTGTGTGTGTGTGTGTGTGTAATGACCTGGTGGCGGGGCGTCTGTGTGTGGTGTGTGTGTGTGTGTGTGTGTGTGTGTAATGACCTGGTGGCGGGCGTCTGTGTGTGTGTGTGTGTGTGTGTAATGACCTGGTGGCGGTGTGTGTGTGTGTAATGACTGGTGCGGGGGCGTGTGTGTGTGTGTGTGGTCTGGTGTGTGGTGGTGTGTGGGTGTGTGTGTGTGTGTAATGACCTGGTGTCGGGCGTCGGTGGTGTGTTGTGTGTGTAATGACCTGGTGGCGGGGCGTCCCGGGCGTCAGGCTCCTGCACTGTGCGTCGAGTCGTGTGAATCGTCGGGTGATGTTGTCGACTCGAGTGTGGAGACGTCGATACTCGTCGTACTCAGAGTTAAAATCCACTTTATATTTTTGTCTTTGCTCCAGAGACACAAGAGACACGTACTTCCTACAACACAACACACTTCACTCAAACTGAAACTGAAACTAGATCCTCATTTTTCTCAAGTATCAATACTAAAAAAATCACACTGACAGAACCAGGACTAAACCAGGACTAAACAGGACTAAACCAGGACTAAACCAGGACTAAACCAGGACTAAACCAGGTCTAAGTATTTCAGACGACATTCGTTTTGTCTAAAGTATAAAAAATCAGATCCTAACGTTGTTTTTTGCATTAACAGTTTCGATGACTCTTTCCCGTGTGTCCAGGCTCCAACAGAAAATAAAAACATAAAAGTATAAAAGTATAAAAGAGTTTGGAGCAGACGTTTTGACTCACAGCAGATAATCTTCCTGGAGATGAACAGACGAGGAGAAATCTGACGCCTGCAGCCGTTTGTCTGAAGAGTCTGAACAAACACAAACAACATCATGTTAAACACTGGACTTTTACTGATTCACAAAGTTTAAACCAGCGGTGCTCAATATGTCGATCTGATCTTACCAGTCGATCGTCAAGGTCGTGTGTGTAAATCGTCGTGTCTCGTCTCGGACTCGTGTTTGGACTCGGTCTTGTCTCTCACTCGAGGTCTGACACTCAACAAGTGTGATCATATTTCATTGCGGCCGCTGCTGTTGGTAATAAACTTGTAGCGGGTGCAGGAGCGTGTGGGGCGTCTCAGTGCAGCCTGTGCGCTCATTTGAAACCCGCGGAGACTCTACGGCGCATCACAAACACACACGCTCCCTATGCACGGCTCGTCTGCGACAGCGTGTGCCCTCGTGTACCAGCTGCATCACAGGGCAGGTTCAACTTCCTAAACATCCTACCTGTCCATCTGCCTCACGTCAGCACGCCGCCCCTCGCCTTTTCACGCTCTCGCTCCTTCCTGCGTACAGCGAACACAAGCCCCTCCCACAGTGCGGCTGATTAGAAGAGCAAGACCAAACGTGAAGCAAAAACCAGTCTAAATTTGTGTTCCAGTGTTGGCACAAAGCAGGTCTACAGCATAGAGCGGATCTACAGAACAGACCTACTGCCACATTTGGCTGAAGTTTGACTAACAAAAGTGACAAATGCATCTGTGTTTGTCACGATGTGCGTTTGGTTTGGTAAACGTGCAGAGGCTGGAAAATATCACTGCAAAACCAGAAAAGAATGAAACTCCAGTTTGGAACTTTAAAAACAGGTTTAAAAATCTTCCTTCACTTTTTTCACAGTTTTGTGTAAAGTGCCAGAGGAAGTTCTCTTAAAGAAGAGGTTCTCAAACTGTGGGGGAGGGTCCAAAAAAGGACCACAGAGTGTTTCAGTGCAGTTTGTTTGACTTTGTATTAGGTCGATCTTTATGACTTGGTCATTTTGTAAGTCGCTCACATGATGAAAGTGTGAACATCTCTGGGTTAAACAAACACATCTGAGCCTCTGATCTGCACTACATCTCCCAGAATCCTCCGCTCCGTCCTGATGTAGTTTCTCATCACACACAGACCTGGAGTTTTGTTTCTTTCACATGTTTAACCCACAAACCTGCACATTTAGACTTTAGAGTTCTTCTCTCAAACTGAAAACTCTGAGGTTCCTTCTGGACGCTCATTTTCCCTGCGGAGGATAATCCGGATTTATGCTCGAAGAGAAACGAGCCGAGTCTGTGGAAAAGACTTTTCCACAGCTTCAGCTCGTTTCGCTTCACTCGGTTTGTGGAGTTTTGTTAAAGTCGAAGTCGTCAGATGAACAGAAACGACCAAAATATAATTTACACAAAAATAATCATGAATCATTTTAGAAATAAACTCACATAAAACAACACAAATTAAACACAAACGTTTGGTTTAATTTTCTGCTGTTTTGAGGCTGTTTCACATTTTGACTCATCGACCCAAAATAAAACCGTTCACGTCTTAAAAACCACAATCACACAAACGAAACACAAACGACTGACTCCATTTGTGTGGTTTTATTTCGTTTTGAAGTTTCCTGGAGCTGTGACCCCAGTTTGACCTTTAAAAGACTCGTTATTATCTCCAAAACTAAAACAGCACAAACGATCGAGGGAGTTTTTGTGCAGTTGTGCGTTTGGGTGTGTGTGTGTGTGGGTGTGTGTGAGTGTGTGAGTGTGTGTGTGTGTGTGTGTGTGAGTGTGTGAGTGTGTGTGTGTGTGTGTGTGGTGTGTGTGAGTGTGTGACTCAGGAGCTTCAACAGAACAAACTCGCAGCTCATCCACACTTCACACACAGCAGGGAGGGACTCAACTGTGCACCCAGATAACCCCCACCCCCACCCGCTCACCCCACCCGCTCACCCCCACCCGCTCACCCACCCACCGAGTCACACACACACTCAGACTCACACACACACTCAGACTCACACACACACTCTACACTGACTCTTTACTCGGGCCGGTATGTCTCGATTAGAGCCCGACCGATATGAAACCGATATAATGAGAGTTGGAGCTGTCGATATAATCGCCGATATATTTAGTGATGTAAAAATTCACTGTAAATCTTGAATTATTTTAAAAAAACTTAGGTTTGTCTCTGGTGGATTTTAAACTGGGTTTATTTAGGAAACATTTATTGTTCTTCTGCCTCTTTACATGATGTGTCAAAGGACTAAAACCAGAACTGAACCAGAACTGAACCAGGACTGAACCAGGACTGAGTGTCTGGACTCGGTCTCTCTCTCTCCTGAGCCCAAGATTAGTCCTGGTTTATTTATTTTATGCTGAATATATTTATGCACATGCAGATTTTTGAAAGTTTGGTTTTGAGCCGCTGCCGCTGTCAAACTCCCACGAGTCTGAACGCGACGTGAAGAGAAAAAAAGTGAGAGAAAGAGAAAACACGGCTCCCAATAAGGATCAGGCTCCCGTCGTTCTCTTCAAAGAGCCGGATCTAAGAGCCGCTTCGTTCACGACCGACTCATCACGAGTAAATAAACAATCACTATTAGCCTTTAGCCGTAAATGCTGCGCCGCGATAATTAATGATATGTGTAAATGTGGATCATTCACACGTCTGTTCACACTCATTTACATCAATGCAGCTGCAGAAACAAATATACAAACAATATAATCACTTTACAACAGATCAATAGAAAACAGACTGTTTATGTGAGACACAACAGATCATCACTAACCTATAAACAAATGATCAAAGTATCTTCAAAGTCGACATATTTCAACACTCAGACTCACACAGGCTCCTCCCACATCACAAGTCTGAACTAATAAATGTCCTTTTAATCCAGACTCAAACCGATTGTTCATAAAAAGAAAATAATGTCAGTGTTGCACATGGATCTGTGTGTGTGAGTGTAAACAAACACACGTGACTCTGTGGTGTGTTCAGGGACAGTACGACACACACACACACACACACACACAGACAAATGACAGATAAATGTTCTAATATGTGGCTCCACATCAGGATTTTTCTGTCTGTAAATTGGATTAAATGAACAGAATGTAGAGAGTCTAAGATTTATAACGACGTATCACATGACCACGGGAAATATCGGCCCTTATCAACAAGTGTATCGGCTGATATGCTTCCAGGGGCTCATATCGGCCGATAATATCGACCAACCGATATATCGGTCTGGCTCTAATTTCGTTATATTTAAAATATCTCGATATTTTTTAAACTCGATATGGATTCTGACATATCGTACATATCGATATAACATTTATATTTAATTCTGATTTTGTCGTTTCGCTTCTTTTCTCTTCTCTGTGGTCGGCCCCGCCTCCCTGATTTTTCTGCTCGAGTCTCGTTCTCTCCTCTGTCGTCGGTTTGTCAAAGTCTGATCCCGTCAGATCTCAGAAGCTCAGGGTCTGGGTCTGAGTCTGAGGGCGTTTTCACACTGACAGTATTTGTTGCACCAAACGTTCCATTCGAACCAAAAGTGGTTAGTTCGGTTCGTTTGCGTTGGTGTGAAAGCGTCAATCGGACTCGGACCCGAACCAAATGAAGCGGACCGAGACCGCAAAAAAGAGGTGGTCTCGTTCGCTTGAATCCGCACCAAATGACCAAGTTTGGTGCGGTTCCTCTGGTGTGAACGCGAACCCGGGTCCAAACCATAGACAGTATGGACAAACGGACTATTCGAAATGCATCATGGGAGGAAACGCGTCTCCTCTGCCTGAAGTGACGCTGTACGACTCCAGCGCGCAGTAACAGATTGTTGTCCAGACGCAGCCGCGATTCAGTTTCGAATTATTTTACCAACAATGGCCAATACAGAGAATGTAACACACGAAGATCAGAGCAAGAACCAGTGTGCGAACGTGTGGCTAACCAGAGTGAGTCAAAAATTGGGGGTGTGTACCCCCTGTTCGGGACCTACACGCACAGAGACGACCCGGTGTTCCCCGTGATCACACAGCAACCAACATTTGTTATTTTAGGCTTTAATTAACCAAATAATTTCATGGCAATAGGCAAATCGCCCATTCAATTGATACAACTTAAAAAGTCCCTGTTTTTAGCCTAGTGTGAGAAATACAGTCGGACTAGATCCAAACCAGAGTCCCCGAACCAGCGGGGGCAGCTCCGGTTCAGGCCGGGCTCAGAGGAGCTGGAGCGGGGAGCCTCGACCTGAGGAAGCGCTTTCCCCGGAAAGAACCAAATGCGCGGAGGACGGACGCTCAGAACAACATATAACAAACCAAACTGGACTCACGCTTCTGTCCGGATGCTGCACCACCTCGGAACCAGCCGCGGTTCTTGAGCGCGGAGAACCGGAGCAGCACCTGTAGTCCACAGCGCATTCTCACTTTTCCCGCACGGAAACAGCGCACAGACGACGGAACGTACCCGCTCAGACTCAGTCATTACGCACCGGTCTTGCTCGCCACCGTTTGGAACCAGCACATGGAGGATGGAGCCTCCGGACCATCTGACCAACGCGCAGAAGACCAAGAACCAAACCCCAGCCCCGTCCTGAGGAGCTGTTGGCTGCTGCTGTTACCCGAACTCTGGGCTGATGCGGTGAGTTTGTACAAGTTCTACATGTTGCTGTTTTATGAGTTCATGGTGATAATTTGAGATGAGGCGGCCCGTGGTATTAACAGGAACATCGGTGTTGATAACTGGAGTATCTGCTGTTTACCGGGGAAACAGAGACACGTGAATCGAACCAGTTTTGGTTCGTTTGCCGGTGTGAAAAGCGGGACACACTGGAGTGTATTGCTACATATAACAATTTTATTGCCTGGTGCGGACCAAAATAATCGAACTAAGGGTGTGAAAACGACCTGAGTCTGAGTCTGAGTCTGAGTCTGAGTCTGAGTCTGGGTCTGAGTCTGGGTCTGGGTCTGGGTCAGGGTCTGGGTCAGGGTCTGGAGACTCTGGGAATTCCAGGAGCCACAGGAGGCACCAGGGGCAAAAACTGTTGTTGTGTCTAGGGATGGGCATGATTAGTCGATTAATCGATAATTGATCATTAAGAATTTCATTGATTACGTTCATTTTAATGGACAAACTGAATGTATGTTTGTGTGTCGTGTCTGTACATGTGTCTCTGCATCAGAAGGAGCGAGACACAAACAGTGGGTCAGTCTGGAACGAACCGAAGCACAAATGTGGATTTAACCAGGATTTGGACAAGAAATTCCACACTTTCCGTTGCGTCGGGACAAGAGTGAGTCCATGTGCACTAGGGCTGGTATCATTAAGAAGTTGCCGATATGATACACACTCGATACGTAGGCCACGATACGATACATATCTCGATACAGTGCACTTTCGATTCGATACAATATATTTCAAATTGATTCGATACGGTTCAATAAAAAATAAAGACTAAATCAGGACTGTGATACTAAAGTCTTTGTTAAATCATTTCTTCTTGTGTAAAGTTCATATGAAACACAAACTTTTTAATCATCAAAACAGTGAAAATGTCAAATGTGTCGCATAAATGTGTTTCCTTCCTCTAAACAAACAACAAAACTGTAACAAAATAATTCAGTAAAATTTTGTAAAATATACCAAAAAATCCTCCTGGCGATGTATCGAAACAGCAGCCCACGATATCGATACTGTATCATCACATTAAAAGATACGATATATCGATATTTTGATATTTTTGCACACCCCTAATGTGCACAGTGAATAAAGCAGCACATGTGTCAGTGTCCATGTGGATGACGAGGCCCCGCCCCCCTCCCCCCGTACGCTGTCCTGGTTTTGACAAACACAAATCTGGTCACACTGACCTGTATTCACCTGAGTCATGTCTTTTAATCCAACACAAGTTGAACCACATCAGCGACACAAGAGCTGGAGTTTTATCTTCACTTAGTTTATGTAAATTAGTGATGTGGTTTTAAGTTTCGTTTCTGTGAGATTTGAACAAAACTGAATTAAACACATTATAATGTCAAACAGCTGATGTGGATCTAGAGTCGTTATGTTTATATGTCGTAAAGTTGAATTTATTTATGCAGATTAGTGCAGATAGTAATAATAATGATGATCATTTTAATATAAAAACGTTAATGATAATCGATGGTTAATTCTCCCGATGATCAATTAAGAAAATTTCATCGAATGTCCGTCACTATTTCAAATCGATTCAATAAAAAGTAAAGTCTAAATCCTGCCTCTGTGACACTAAAAATCTTTGTTAAATCACTTCTTGTGTAAAGTTCATACGAAACACAAACATTTTAATCATCGAAACAGTGAAAATGTCAAATGTGTCGAGTTTCCTTCCTCTGAACAAACAACAAAACTGGAGCTGGAACTAAAAAATTTACTAAAATAAACCAACAAATCCTCCTGGTGATGTATCGATACAGCAGAACACGATATCGATACTGAATCAGCACATTAAACGATACGATACACGGATGTTTCAATACTTTCTGCTCTCTCTCTCTAAACTCTCCACACTCGTCGTCAGGTGAAAGTCTCGTGTGTCCGTCACAAACCTGCGTCTGCGCGCTCCTTCTCTTCTTCTTCCTTCTTCTTCTTCTCTCCTCCTCTTCTTGGCTTTGCGTCCGTCGCCCTCCGAGTCGGCGGGGGGCGGGGCTCTGCTCTCCTCCCTCCTCCTCCTCTCCTTCTTCTCTCGCTCCTTCTCTTTGTGCTTTTTAGATTTCTTCTTGGCTTTGCGCGGCTCCTCTCGGGGGCCGGGGGCTCGGACCCTCGACGCTCCACGGTCCGACGAGGGGGACTGGCTCGGGTCTCTCGGGTCTCGGGTTCTCGGCTCGGTCTCTGGTCCGTCTCGGCTCGGGTCTCGGGTCTCGGCTCAGGCTCGGGTCTCGGTCGGGTCTGGCTCGGGTCTCGGTCGGGTCTCGGTCTCGGTCTCGGGTCTCGGTCTCGGTCTCGGTCGGGTCTGGTCCGGTCTCGGCTCGGGTCTCGGCTCAGGTCTCTGGTCCGGTCTCGGCTCGGGTCTCGGCTCCGGTCTCGGCAGGTGGAGCTTTGATCCAGAGGCAGGTCTTGGGTTCCGCGTCCTTCGGGCGTCGACGGCGAGTGCGAGGAGGAGGAGGAGGCGGGGCTTAGCTGGTGACTGGCGGCTCGCGGGTGAGAGGAGGGTGCAGAGGAGGGCCGGTGGGAGGGGTGGTGCTCCTGGCTGCGGCGGCCTGAGGAGGGTGCAGAGGAGGACAGAGACGGTCCAGAGGAAGGCAGGGACGATGCAGACGAGGGCAGGGACGGAGCAGAGGAGGGTGCAGAGGAGGACCGGTGGGTGGGGTGCTCCTGGTCGGGTGCAGAGGAGGACCTGAGGCCGGGCGGCTCCTCGGACGACGCAGAGGAGGAGCAGGAGGAGGAGGAGCGGTTGTTCAAGTGTGAGATTCTCAGTTTCTTCGGGGCCAGAGGATCGATGAAGTCAAAGTCCAACTTCTGCAACGAGACAAAAACAGACGGACCTGAGTCGTGGGAGGGCATCAGGTTTAGCCCCACATCTTCAACATGGTTAGGGTCGGTTTGGTTCGGTCGCTTTATTCGTACCCGTAGGTAAATTTGCTTTGCAGATTTGAGCGGCAGGTTCCACATTTCACTTTTCATTCATCCACAAAACACACATAAAATCACAATTACAAAACAAAGAGTTTCAGATGCTCCAGAGCAGAACGGTTTGTTCCATAAACGACCAATTAAAAAATCACAATAAACCTTAAATATGAAAAACGCTCGGATAAAATCACAATTTATTCAAACGACTTCAGATGAGTTTGTGTATATATGTGGGTTTTTTTTGGTCTCGTTTTCGTTTTCGTCTTGTCACACTAACGTCACGACCAGAGTGACCAGAGCGACCCGAGTTCTATGCAGAGGAACGCTCAGGTCCGGCGTGTGAGTGCAGTTACCTGTGGGGAGCAGGAGGGGGCGCCGTCTTTAGGAGAGGAGCTGGAGGGAAGAGGCTCAGCGCTCAGACCCAGTTTCCTGAAACGAGACGAGATCAAGAAACACTTCAGTTTCATTTACAGGTTTAAATATTTCTACAGGTTTAATTTTTTAAATATTTCTACAGGTTTAATTTTTAAATATTTCTACAGGTTTAAAATTTTTAAATATTTCTACAGGTTTAATTTTTTAATATTTCTACAGGTTTAATTTTTTAAATATTTCTACAGGTTTAAATTTTTAAATATTTCTACAGGTTTTAATTTTTTAAATATTTCTACAGGTTTAATTTTTTAAATATTTCTACAGGTTTAATTTTTTAATATTTCTACAGGTTTAAATTTTTTAAATATTTCTACAGGTTTAAATTTTTAATATTTCTACAGGTTTAATTTTTAAATATTTCAGCAGGAACAGTTCCACATGAACTTCTACTCAAGCTTCAGATTTTTGGACAGAAAAAAACATCGAGTCGGGTGAGAATCGTGTTTAGTTTGGTTCTTTACCGTGAGAATCGTGTTTAGTTTGGTTCTTTACCGTGAGAATCGTGTTTAGTTTGGTTCTTTACCGTGAGAATCGTGTTTAGTTTGGTTCTTTACCGTGAGACTTTCCTGTCGGCCTGAGTTCGTTCTTCCTCCGTGTACCCGGGCCAGTCCCTCTGCACCTCCCCGAACACAAACTCCTTCAGAGAAAACGAGTTCTCCTTCATGTTCAGAACCGCCACCTGACGACAGACACACACAGGTCATCCTCTGTGTCCTCCTCTGGACCATCTGACCCTCTCCTCTGCTCCTCTCTCTCTTCCTCCTTTTCTCCCCCTAAGCCCCTTTTGGCTGATTTCCTCCTCTCTCCTCCTCCTTATCTCTCTTCTTCCTCCTCCTCCTCTTCTCTCTCTCTCCTCTCTCTCTCTCTCTCTCCTCCTCTCTCTCTCTCTCTCTCTCTCTCTCTCTCTCTCTCCTCTCTCTCTCTCCTCCTCCTCCTCCTCTTCTCTCTCTCTCTCCTCTCTCTCTCTCTCTCTCTCTCTCCTCTCTCTCTCTCTCCTCTTCTCTCTCTCTCTCTCTCTCTCTCTCTCTCCTCTCTCTCTCCTCCTCTCTCTTCTCTCTCTCTCTCCTCTTCTCTCTCTCTCTCTCTCTCTTCTCTCTCTCTCTCTCTCTCCTCTCTCTTCTCTCTCTCCTCCTCTCTCTCTCTCTCTCTCCTCCTCTCTCTCTCTCTCTCTCTCTCTCTCTCCTCCTCTCTCTCTCTCTCCTCTCTCTCTCTCCTCTTCTCTCTCTCCTCCTCTTCTCTCTCTCTCCTCCTCTTCTCTCTCTCTCCCCTCCTCTTCTCTCTCTCCTCCTCTTCTCTCTCTCTCTCTCTCCTCCTCTCTCTCTCTCTCTCCTCCTCTTCTCTCTCCGTTCACCTGCTGCAGCGTCGTTCCCAGCGCGGCTCTGTCCTTCTGGCCGATGCCGTCCCTCTGGAGTCTGGCGAGCAGCTCCAGTTTCTTGTAGGGCCTGAGGGCGAGCAGGTGCAGCACCCGGTCCCGCAGGGGGCGCTGCGACACCGGGTTGCTGCTGAGGCACTTGCGGATGGTGCTGGCGGGGTTTATGGGCGTCGACCGCTTGCGCTCGGGGACGACGTCGGCGCCGGAGAGGACGGGCTTCCGGACGTGGACCTGCTTCCCTGAAACGGACACAGAGGTTCAGGTTTGTGACGAGAGGAGCGGCGGGAGAACGCGGAGAACGCGGCGGAGAACGCGGCGGGAGAACGCGGGGAGAACGCGGCGGGAGAACGCGGCGGGAGACGGCGAGACGCGGCGGAGAACGCGGCGGCGAGCGGCGGGCGGCGGCGCCGCAGAGGCTCCGCGGGGGGCGCTCACCTCGGAACCGTCCTCCCGGTTTGATGACTTTGGCACAGCGTTCCTTCGTGTCCTCCGCGACCTGAGTCATCTTCTCCCGGGTCGTCTGGTACGAGTCGTTCGTGGCACAGACGGTGAGTTTGGTCTGAACGGGAGCCAAGAGAGAGAGAGAGGACCTGAAAGAAAACAGGACACAGTGAGAGAGAGAGAGGACCTGAAAGAAAACAGGACACAGTGAGAGAGAGAGAGAGAGAGAGAGAGAGAGAGAGAGAGAGAGAGGACCTGAAAGAAAACAGACACAGTGAGAGAGAGAGAGAGAGAGAGAGAGAGAGAGAGAGAGAGAGAGAGGAGAGAGAGAGAGAGAGAGAGAAGAGAGACAGAGAGAGAGAGAGAGAGAGCACAAGTGTAAGCGAGAGCTGGAGAAGACCTGAAAGAGAGAAAGAGAGAGAGTGAGCGAACGAAAGAGTGAGAGAGCAGAGAGAAGAGAGAGAAGAAAGTGAGAGAGGAGAGGGGAGACAGAGAGGGAGGAGAGAGTGAAAGAGAGGAAACCAGGACTAAAACCAGGACTAAACCAGGACTAAACCAGGTCTAAACCAGGACTAACCAGGACTAAACCAGGTCTAAACCAGGTCTAAACCAGGTCTAACCAACTAAACAGAGGACTAAACAGGACTAAACCAGGTCTAAACCAGGTCTAAACCAGGTCTAACCCAGGTCTAAACCAGGTCTAAACCAGGTCTAAACCAGGTCTAAACCAGGACTAAACCAGGTCTAAACCAGGTCTAACCCAGGTCTAACCCAGGTCTAACCCAGGTCTAACCCAGGTCTAACCCAGGTCTAAACCAGGTCTAAACCAGGTCTAAACCAGGTCTAAACCAGGTCTAAACCAGGTCTAAACAGGACTAAACTAGGACTAAACCAGGTCTAAACCAGGTCTAACCCAGGACTAAACTAGGACTAAACCAGGTCTAAACCAGGACTAAACCAGGACTAAACCAGGACTAAACCAGGTCTAAACCAGGTCTAAACCCAGGTCTAACCCAGGTCTAACCCAGGTCTTAACCCAGGTCTGACCCAGGTCTGACCCAGGTCTAAACCAGGTCTGACCCAGGTCTGACCCAGGTCTAAACCAGGTCTGACCCAGGTCTGACCCAGGTCTGACCCAGGTCTGACCCAGGTCTGACCCAGGTCTGACCCAGGTCTGACCCAGGTCTGACCAGGTCTGACCCAGGTCTAAACCAGGTCTAAACCAGGTCTGACCCAGGTCTGACCCAGGTCTGACCCAGGTCTGACCCAGGTCTGACCCAGGTCTGACCCAGGTCTGACCCAGGTGTACCGCTGGGCCGGTGCAGCAGGGGGCGCTCTCTCTCTCTCTCTCTTACCCTGCTGCGGTGTCGTGCTGTTGCTGTTGCTGTTGCTGCTGCAGACACTCGAATCGTCCCTGAGGATTTTCTTTGGCCACGTTGGAGAGGTAGAACTCGAAGGACTGCGGCTCAGACGAGTCCGAGCGAGGGATCTTGATACGCTGGAAATAAAAATAAAAAAAACATCAAAACGTGTCAAACTAAAACAGGCTCCAGGTTTGTTCGACCAAAACCAGGAAATAAACGAGCAAAAATAAAAGTAAAAATGTAGAAATTAAGCAAAATTTTATTATGAACTCCCGATATTTTTAATTTGGTTGAGAACTTCGAGAAAATGTTTATTATTTTTTCCATCATTTTTTGTTTCCAGATAATTTCTTTTCTAATTTTTTTTATTAGTTTGTATTTATTTGCATTTTATTATTTATGTATTTATTTAATTTTATTATTTTTTGAGCCTGGTTAAAGACAGAACAGTGGATTATAGTAACAGATGATAAACACTCACGCCCTGGAGGCCTTTGAACTGGATGGTCGGCTGCACACGAGCTCCATTCTGAAAAACAAACATAAAATAAAATAAGTTTGGCATTTTAAACTTTTTAAAATTCTGAAAAATAATCAGATTAAAGCAGAAACGCGGAGCCGCCGCCGTCAATCAACCTGCTCCTGGAACAGAACCGCCCACAGGAACCAACAGGTTTAAGTCAGAACCAGTTTAAAGTCGAACTGTGGAACTTTTCTGGAGAAACGTCTGTGAGACACGTTAGAATCTGTGTGTCGTTTATTCATTTGTTTTTCAAAATAAAAACAAAAATAAGAAAAAAACCAACAAAAAAAAAACTAAAAACAGAGAACGGACTAAACCAGGTCTGGTCAAAGACTCAGTCCCGTTCACCAGTCAGTCTATACGGGTCCACACTCAGTCCTGGTTTAGTCCTGGTTTAGTCCTGGTTTAGTCCTGGTTTAGTCCTGGTTTAGTCCTGGTTTAGTCCTGGTTTTCAGTCCTGGTTTAGTCCTGGTTTAGTCCTTGTTTTCAGTCCTGGTTTAGTCCTTGTTTTCAGTCCTGGTTTAGTCCTTGTTTAGTCCTGGTTTAGTCCTGGTTTAGTCCTTGTTTAGTCCTGGTTTAGTCCTGGTTTAGTCCTTGTTTTCAGTCCTGGTTTAGTCCTTGTTTAGTCTTGTTTGTGTCACATAAACTCATTTATGTGACACATTTGACTTTTTCTCTGTTTTGATGATTAAAATGTTTGTGTTTCATATGAACTTTTCACAAGAAGTGATTTAACAAAAACTTTTAGTGTCACAGCCACGATTTAGACTTTATTTTTTATTGAACCGTATCGAATTGATTTGAAATATATCGTATCGAATCGAAAGTGCACTGTATCGAGATATGTCTCTTCTTAATGATACCAGCCCTACCTTCTACTGCTAAATGTAACAGGTGTTGGAGGAAATGGGCCGATTATTTGACTTCGATATTTAACACTGTCAAGACAGATAATTATCGGTGACTCTAGATCAGAGATGTTCACACTTTCATCATGTGAGCTACTTATAAAATGACCAAGTCAAAATGATCGACCTAATACAAAGTCAAACAAACTGCACTGAAACACTCTGTGGCCCTTTTTTGGACCCTCCCCCACAGTTTGAGAACCTCTTCTTTAAGAGAACTTCCTCTGGCACTTTACACAAAACTGTGAAAAAAGTGAAGGAAGATTTTTAAACCTGTTTTTTAAAGTTCCAAACTGGAGTTTCATTCTTTTCTGGTTTTGCAGTGATATTTACCAGCCTCTGCACGTTTACCAAACCAAACGCACATCGTGACAAACACAGATGCATTTGTCACTTTTGTTAGACAAACTTCAGCCAAATGTGGCAGTAGGTCTGTTCTGTAGATCCGCTCTATGCTGTAGACCTGCTTTGTGCCAACACTGGACACAAAATTTAGACTGGTTTTTGCTTCACGTTTGGTCTTGGCTCTTCTAATCAGCCGCACTGTGGGAGGGGCTTGTGTTGGCTGTACGCAGGAAGGAGCGAGAGCGTGAAAAGGCGAGGGGCGGCGTGCTGACGTGAGGCAGATGGACAGGTAGGATGTTTAGGAAGTTGAACCTGCCCTGTGATGCACGCTGGTACACGAGGGCACACGCTGTCGCAGACGAGCCGTGCATAGGGAGCGTGTGTGTTTGTGATGCGCCGTAGAGTCTCCGCGGGTTTCAAATGAGCGCACAGGCTGCACTGAGACGCCCCACACGCTCCTGCACCCGCTACAAGTTTATTACCAACAGCAGCGGCCGGAATGAAATATGATCACACTTGTTGAGTGTCAAACCTCGAGTGAGAGACAAGACCGAGTCCAAACACGAGTCCGAGACGAGACACGACGATCTACCCACACGACCTTGACGATCGACTGGTAGATCAGATCGACATATTGAGCACCTCTGCTCTAGATGCTCTGAATTTTATTTTATTTGGTTTTGTTGTGGTCTGCAGTTTTGTTTTGTTTTGTTCTATAAATGTATTAAAATTTTCAAACGCATACAAAAATAAAGTAAAAAAAAAAAAGTGACAGTGTGGAGTTTTTGTGAGCTCAGGTGTGTTCTGGGTTTGTCGTCGTGTTTCTTTCCTCATACTTTTAAATCACTAAAGCTGCAATTATCTCCTTAAGTGTCGTCCACAAAGAAGAAAATATTCTGAGAGACAAAAGACTCTGACGAACAAACTGTGTGTGCGTCAGATGCCCTCCCCCACGTAAAACAAACAAATAAATAAATGAAATACTCGAGTGTGATGTGCAGCTACACACAGGAGCCACAGACTGGTTTAGTCCTGGTTTGGTCCTGGTTTAGTCAGAGTGTTGACTTTGGTGTTTTTTTTTTTTGTTTTTTTTGTTTTTAGTTTTATATTTTGTATTATCTATTTTATTATTATTATTATTATTTTTTTTTTTACTTTTCTACTTTTCTTTTTTCAATTAATACATATTTTATGTATTATTTTTTATTTATTTATTTTACTTTTGTTTACTACTTTGCTTTTACTATTTTCTTATATATATATATTTAAATTTATGATGTTTTTTATGTTATGTTTTTTTTTTTATGTATTTATTTTACTTAAAAAAATTCTTTATTATTACTATTATTATTTATTTTATTTATAATGATTATTTAAATTTTTAGTATTTTTTTTTTTTAACTCTGCTACTTTATTTAAGCTATTTTCATTTTTATATTTATTTATTATTATTTTATATATATTTTTTTTGTCGTCACTCTTGTTTCTGTATAAAGTCGTTTTATTATTATTATTTATTATTATTATTGATTTAGATCAATGTTGTGATTTAAAGCGTCACAGAACAGAACGATCCACAGAGGTCAGAGGTCAGAGGTCACAGGTCAGAGGTCACAGGTCAGAGGTCACAGGTCAGAGGTTCTGTTCAGTCTCCAGTTGAGGTTTTGTGTTTTGTTGTTGTTGAACTGAATCAAAGTGAAGTGGAGCTGATTAAAGTCACACTGCGGAACATTCCAGACAGAACAGCGACGTCTCCATAGAAACAAACAGGTGCCCGACCCTCCATGTCCGGGTCCATGTCCATGTCCATGTCCGGGTCCGGGTCCGGGTCCATGTCCAGTCCGTCCAGTCTCACAGAAACACATTCCAAGTGTGTTTTATGTTTTGTGTTTTTATGTTTTATGTTTTTTTTCAAACTCAGTAAAACCTCAGATTCTCAAAGCCACAAAATCAAACACGAGACGAGACGAGACGCCACTCACTGACGTTTCACCCCTGGACTCACTGACGTTTCACCCCCGGACTCACTGACGTTTCACCCCCGGACTCACTGACGTTTCACCCTGGACTCACTGACGTTTCACCCTGGACTCACTGACGTTTCACCCCCGGACTCACTGACGTTTCACCCCCGGACTCACTGACGTTTCACCCCCGGACTCACTGACGTTTCACCCCCGGACTCACTGACGTTTCACCCCCGGACTCACTGACGTTTCACCCCCGGACTCACTGACGTTTCACCCCCGGACTCACTGACGTTTCAGCCCCGGACTCACTGACGTTTCAGCCTGGACTTCGCTGGTGGAGCTTCAGAAACAGAAACATGAAAAAACAGAAACGAAACTCGATTCTCAAAACTGAAAATAAAAATCTTCTTTTTTTAAACACTTTTGTGATTTTCAACATTAAACAGTGAAACTTTCATTTCTGTTCCCAAATCTCTTTAAAACCAGAAAAACCAGGACTAAACCAGGACTAAACCAGGACTAAACCAGAACTAAACCAGGACTAAACCAGGACTAAACAACTAAACCAGGACTAAACCAGGACTAAACCAGACTAAACCAGAACTAAACCAGACTAAACCTAAACCAGGACTAAACCAGAACTAAACCAAAACTAAACCAGGTCTAAACCAGGAAAACCAGGTCTAAACCAGGACTAAACAGGTCTAAACAGGACCAGGACTAAACCAGGTCTAAACCACTAAACCAGGACTAAACCAGGTCTAAACCAGGTCTAAACCAGGACTAAACCAGGACTAAACCAGGTCTAAACCAGGTCTAAACCAGGACTAAACCAGAACTAAACCAGGAACTAAACCAGGACTAAACCAGGTCTAAACCAGGACTAAACCAGGTCTAAACCAGGACTAAACCAGGTCTAAACCAGGTAAACCCTAAACCAGGTCTAAACCAGGACTAAACCAGGACTAAACCAGGACTAAACTAAACCAGGAACTAAACCAGGTCTAAACCAGGACTAAAACCAGGACTAAACTAAAACCAGGTCTAAACCAGGTCTAAACCAGGACTAAACCAGGGACTAAACCAGGTCTAAACCAGGACTAAACCAGGACTAAACCAGGACTAAACCAGGACTAAACCAGGACTAAACCAGGTCTAAACCAGGTCTAAACCAGGTCTAAACCAGGTCTAAACCAGGTCCGTGTCTCTGTGCCTTTAAACTTGTTCTGAAGTTTTGTTTTTGTTCCGTCAGATCGTTATCTGCGAAAAACACAGATCCAGTTTCGATACTCCTTCCAGCGTACTTCAGAGTACTTGAGTATTTTTTCAGAGTACTTTTGACAGTTACCTCAGTAAAGATTCTGGTGTCAGATTATCAGATCATGTTCCCGTCTCCACCCCAACGTCGTCTACGCAAACCTCTCCTTTTCCTTTCAAAACGACGACGCTCGGCCACAAACTAAAACTTTTTTTGGACGACACCGGAGCTCGTGTGGGTCCGGTTTTGAGAGGGTTCGGTTTTCGTGTGGGTCCGGTTTTCGTGTGGGTCCGGTGTGGGCCGGTCCTGTCGCCCTTTAAACCGTAACACACACTGACGCTCTCGGTTTATGTAATCGAGTTAACGTGAGGTGAAACGTCTGCGAGATTTGGCAGGTCAGAAAATATTTAACTCGAGAAGATTAAACACACACAAACAGAGATACTGGTTTAGTCCTGGTTTAGTCCTGGTTTAGACCTGGTTTAGTCCTGGTTTACTGGTTTAGTCTGGTTTAGACCTGGTTTAGACCTGGTTTAGACCTGGTTTAGACCTGGTTTAGTCCTGGTTTAGTCCTGGTTTTAGTCTGGTTTAGTCCTGGTTTAGTTCCTGGTTTTCCTGGTTTAGTCCTGGTTTACCTGGTTTACCTGGTTTAGACCTGGTTTACCTGGTTTACCTGGTTTAGTCCTGGTTTAGTCCTGGTTTAGTCCTGGTTTAGTCTGGTTTAGTCCTGGTTTAGGGTGGTTTAGTCCTGGTTTAGACTGGTTTAGTCCTGGTTTAGTCCTTAGTCCTGTTTAGTCCTGGTTAGTCCTGGTTTAGTCCTGGTTTAGTCCTGGTTAGTCCTGGTTTAGACCTGGTTTAGACCTGGTTTAGTCCTGGTTTAGTCCTGGTTTAGTCCTGGTTTAGTCCTGGTTTAGTCCTGGTTTAGACCTGGTTTAGTCCTGGTTTTAGTCCTGGTTTAGTCCTGGTTTAGACTGGTTTAGTCCTGGTTTAGTCCTGGTTTAGTCCTGGTTTAGTTTCCTGGTTTAGACCTGGTTTAGAGTCCTGGTTTAGACCTGGTTTACTGGTTTAGTCCTGGTTTAGTCCTGGTTTAGTCCTGGTTTCAGTCCTGGTTTAGTCTGGTTTAGTCCTTTAGTCCTGGTGGTTTAGTCCTGGTTTCAGTCCTGGTTTAGACCTGGTTTAGTCCTGGTTCCTGGTTTTAGTCCTGGTTTAGTCCTGGTTTCAGTCCTGGTTCAGTCCTGGTTCAGTCCTGGTTCAGTCCTGGTTTAGACCTGGTTTAATCCTGGTTTAGACCTGGTTTAGACCTAGTTTAGACCTAGTTTAGACCTAGTTTAGACTTAGTTTAATCCTGGTTTAGACCTGGTTTAGTCTTGGTTTAGTCCTGGTTTAGACCTGGTTTAGTCCTGGTTTAGTCCTGGTTTCAGTCCTGGTTCAGTCCTGGTTTCAGTCCTGGTTTAGAGTTAGACCTGGTTTAGTCCTGGTTTAGACCTGGTTTAGACCTGGTTTAGTCCTGGTTTAGTCCTGGTTTAGACCTGGTTTAGACCTGGTTTAGACCTGGTTTATACCTGGTTTAGACCTGGTTTAGACCTGGTTTAATCCTGGTTTAGACTTTAAAACTTTGGGCAAATCCTAAGTGTCTTGTTTTCAGATGCTGTGGGTCTGAACATCTCCAACTGTCCACATGACAAATCTACAACAACTTCCCCGACCAGATGCTGTTTTTTTATCAGCCATTTTGTTGAAACACATTTACACCCTCAGGACTCACTTGTATAATCGTTAAAACTCTCGTTAAAACACTAATTAAGCAGAAAAAACAAAACAAAACACATTTAAAAGTGGAAAACAAAGTTGGTGAGAGTAGCGCCTAGCTTCAGCGCGTAGCATTAGCCAACGTCACACTCTCAAAACCTCTCCAAAACTTTCAAAACCTCTCCAAAACCTCTCCAAAACCTCTCAAAACCTCTCCAAAACTTTCAAAACCTCTCCAAAAACTCTCAAAACCTCTCCAAAACTTTCAAAACCTCTCCAAAAACTCTCAAAACCTCTCCAAAACTTTCAAAACCTCTCCAAAACTCTCCAAACTCTCCAAAACTCTCAAAAACTCTCCAAACCTCTCCAAAACCTCTCAAACTCTCCAAAAACCTCTCAAAACTCTCAAAACTCTCCAAAACCTCTCCAAAACTCCCAAAACCTCTGCAAAACTTCTCCAAAACTCTCAAAACCTCTCCAAAACTCTCAAAACTTCTCCAAAACCTTACTAAAACCTCTCCAAAACTCTCAAAACTTCTCCAAAACCTCTCCAAAACTCTCAAAACTTCTCCAAAACTCTCAAAACCTCTCCAAAACTCTCAAAACTTCTCCAAAACCTCTCCAAAACTTTCAAAACCTCTCCAAAACTTTCAAAACCTCTCCAAAACTCTCAAAACTTCTCCAACTTTTCCCCAACCAGATAGTTTAGACCTAGTTTAGACCTGGTTTAGTTCTGGTTTAGACCTAATTTAGTCCAAGTTTAGACCTAATTTAGTCCCAATTTAGACCTGGAATAGACCTGGTTTAGATCAAGTTTAGACCTAGTTTAGACTTAGTTTAGTCCTAGTTTAGACTTAGTTTAGACCTAGTTTAGACCTGGTTTAGACCTGGTTTAGTCCTAGTTTAGACCTGGTTTAGACCTGGTTTAGACTTAGTTTAGTCCTAGTTTAGGTTTAGTCCTAGTTTAGACCTAGTTTAGTCCTAGTTTAGACCTAGTTTAGATCTAGTTTAGACCTAGTTTAGACCTAGTTTAGACCTAGTTTAGTCCTAGTTTAGACCTAGTTTAGACTTAGTTTAGACCTAGTTTAGTTTAGTTTTGTCCTAGTTTAGACTTAGTTTTGTCCTAGTTTAGACTAGTTTAGACCTAGTTTAGACTAGTTTAGACCTAGTTTTGTCCTAGTTTAGACTTAGTTTAGACCTAGTTTAGATCTAGTTTAGTCCCGGTTTAGTCCTGGTTTAGTCCCGGTTTAGTCCCGGTTTAGTCTTAGTTTAGACTTAAAAACTTTGGGCAAATCATAATCATAAGTGTCTTGTTTTCAGATGCTGTGGGTCTGAACACGTAGCACATCTCCAACTGTCCACATGACAAATCTACAACAACTTCTACAAACTCTCGTTAAAACACGAATTTAGCAGAAAAAAACAAAACAAAAACACATTTAAAAGTGGAAAACAAAGTTGGTGAAAGTGAAGCGTCTCCCTCGATGCTAACGGTGCCCGTCAAACCGTACAACTTTACAAACTCATTTTATTCGCTAAATATCGACTGTCACTCGATGAAACTTCACCAAAAACAAAGTAAACTCAGCGACGTTTAGTTTAAAGTGAGTTTTGTCAATGATTTAAGTTTATAAATGTGTGGAAATTTGTCTTAAAGCGGTGAGTAGCGCCTAGCTTCAGCGCGTAGCATTAGCTGCGTGGCACCAGCGGCGGCGGCGGAGGCGCAGGGCTCCGCGGGACTCGGCCGGGCTTCGGAGCTCGTTTCTCGGGGTAAAAGTGTGAGAGAGACCGACCTGGCCCCGGTGGCAGGCCTCCACGGCCCGCAGCGCGCTCTCCGTCAGCTTCACGTGGAGGACGGACACTCGGTGCGCGGGGCCCGGGCCGCTCTTCAGCCCGTAGCTCCCGTCTTCAGCCAGAGCCGCCATCTTGAGCAGCCCTCCACCATCCTCCCTCTGACGCCGGGACATGGAGCAGCAGCGGGGCCGGCTCAGGGCGCACCGGGCCGGGGAGGGACTGCGGCTGAGGCCCGGGGTGGGGGGAGAGAGGCGAGCAGCGCGGACCGGGGGGAGGGACCTGAGTGACCCGGGGTGTGCAGCGCGATATCGGGTGTAGGGAGGACCGGCACCTCCCTGATACTGCTCCCTCCCAGTTTAGTCCTGGTCTAGATCTGGTTTAAACATGGTTTAGTCCTATTTTAGTCCTGGTTTAGACCTGGTTTAAACTTAGTTTAGAACAAGTTTAGTCCTGGTTTAGATCTAGTTTAGAGCTGTTTCAGTCCTGGTTTAGTCCTGGTTTAGTCCTAGTTTAGATCTAGTTTAGTCCTGGTTTAGACTTAGTTTAGTCCTGGTTTAGTCCTAGTTTAGTCCTAGTTTAGACCTGGTTTAGTCCTAGTTTAGACCTGGTTTAGTCCTGGTTTAGACCTAATTTAGTCCTAGTTTAGTCCTGGTTTAGACTTGGTTTAGTCCTGGTCTAGATCTGGTTTAGTCCTGGTTTAGACCTGGTTTAAACTTAGTTTAGACCTAATTTTGTCCTGGTTTACACTTGGTTTACTCCCAGTCTAGACCTGGTTTAGTCCTGGTCTAGATCTGGTTTAGTCCTGGTTTAAACTTAGTTTAGACCTAGTTTAGATCTGGTTTAGTTCTACTTTAGACCTGGTTTAGACTTAGTTTAGACCTGGTTTAGTCCTGGTTTAGTCCTGTTACAGAGGTGAGGAGTGGGTGTCTGGGGCGGTGGGATTTTCTGGGTCACAGTTGTTCTTCCTTGATTTTATTTTGATAAGTGAGTCCAGTCCTCATGTCCTCATGTCCCCATGTCCTCATGTCCCCATGTCCTCGTGTCCCCATGTCCTCATGTCCTCATGTCCTCATGTCATGTCCCCATGTCCTCATGTCCTCATGTCCTCATGTCCTCATGTCCTCGTGTCCTCATGTCCTCATGTCCTCATGTCCTCATGTCCTCATGTGTCCCTCATGTCCTCATGTCCTCATGTCCCATGTTCATGTCCTCATGTCCCATGTCCCATGTCCTCATGTCCTCGTGTCCTCATGTCCTCATGTCCCATGTCCTCATGTGTCCCATGTCCCCATGTCCTCGTTGTCCTCATGTCCTCATGTCCCCATGTCCTCATGTCCCCATGTCCTCATGTCCCCATGTCCTCATGTCCTCATGTCCTCGTGTCCCTCATGTCCTCATGTCCCCATGTCCTCGTGTCCTCATGTCCTCATGTCCTCGTGTCCTCATGTCCTCATGTCCTCGTGTCCTCATGTCCTCCATGTCCTCGTGTCCTCATGTCCTCGTGTCCATGTCCTCATGTCCTCATGTCCTCGTGTCCTCATGTCCTCATGTCCTCGTGTCCTCATGTCCTCATGTCCTCATGTCCTCTCCTCGTGTCCTCATATCCTCATGTCCTCGTGTCCTCGTGTCCTCATGTCCTCGTGTCCTCGTGTCCTCATATCCTCATGTCCTCGTGTCCTCATGTCCTCATGTCCTCGTGTCCTCCTCATGTCCTCGTCCTCATGTCCTCGTGTCCTCATGTCCTCATGTCCTCGTGTCCTCATGTCCTCATGTCCCTGTGTCCCTCGCAGATTTACACAAAACCACAGATTTGTCCCAGTTTATACAGAAACGTCCCTGTGTTTGTATTTTGTTCCAGTTTGATCCTGCAGCAGTGAAGAGACACAAACATCTGTCATTTATTTAAGTAAAAGACAGAAAATCTGATTAAAAACGACAAAAACACGAAGAAAATGAGACTAAACTGACTCACACTTTAATTCAATAATTTTATTATCACCAGAAACCGAGACTCACAGGGTTTTATTATGAAAATCTGAAAACTCTTTTGAACATGTCACAGATAAAAGAAGAACTTTTATTTTAATCCACTTCAACAAAAAGACAAAGACACAAAACCAGGTCTGAACCAGGACTTTATCAGAACTAAACCAGGTCTAAACCCAGACTAAACCAGGGCATGATCAGAACCTGAAACAGGACTAAACCAAGAATGAACCACATGTAAACAGGGCTAAACCAGGACAAAACCAGTTCTAAACCCGGACTAAACCCGGACTAAACCCGGACTAAACCAGGACTAAACCTAATCTCTCCGGTCTCTGTTTCCTGCTGACTCATGGACCTGCAGCAGCAGCTGAGGCTCAGACCGATATGTGTCTCTGTGGTTTAGTCCCAACCGGATTCAACCAGAACCAGACCTGGGCCTGGCTTAGTCCTGGTTTAGTCTTGGTTTAGTCCTGGTTTAGTCTTGGTTTAGTCCTGGTTTAGTCCTGGTTTAGTCCTGGTTTAGTCCTGGTTTAGTCCTGGTTTAGTCCTGGTTTAGTCCTGGTTTAGTCCTGGTTTAGACCTGGTTTAGACCTGGTTTAGACCTGGTCTAGTCCTGGTTCAGTCCTGGTCTAGACCTGGTTTAGTCCTGGTCTAGTCCTGGTTTAGTCCTGGTCTAGTCCTGGTTTAGTTCTGGTCTAGTCTTGGTCTAGTCCTGGTTTAGTCCTGGTCTAGTCTTGGTTTAGTCCTGGTTTAGTCCTGGTTTAGACCTGGTTTAGTCCTGGTTTAGTCCTGGTGTAGTCCTGGTTTAGTTCTGGTTTAGACCTGGTTTAGTCCTGGTTTAGTCCTGGTTTAGACCTGGTTTAGACCTGGTTTAGACCTGGTTAAGTCCCGGTTTAGACCCGGTTTAGTCCCGATTTAGTCCGTTTAGAGTCCCGGTCTAGTCCTTTAGTTTAGTCCTGTTCTAGTCCTGGTCTAGTCCTGGTTTAGTCCTGGTCTTGTCCTGGTCCCTGGTCTAGTCCTGGTCTAGTCCTGGTCTAGTCCTGGTTTAGTCCTGGTTCTAGTCCTGGTTTAGTCCTGGTCTAGTCCTGGTTTAGTCCTGGTTAGTCCTGGTTTAGTCTGGGTCCTGGTTAGTCCTGGTTTAGTCCTGGTTTAGTCCTGGTTTAGTCCTGGTTTAGTCCTGGTTTAGTCCTGGTCCTAGTCCTGGTTTAGTCCTGGTTCTAGTCCTGGTCTAGTCCTGGTCTAGTCCTGTCTAGTCCTGGTTAGTCCTGGTTTAGTCCTGTCCTGGTCTAGTCCTGGTTTAGTCCTGGTTTAGTCCTGGGTCTAGTCCTGGTTTAGTCCTGGTTTAGTCCTGGTTTAGTCTGGTTTAGTCCTGGTTTAGTCCTGGTTTAGTCCGGTTTAGTCCTGGTTTAGTCCTGGTTTAGTCCTGTCTAGTCCTGTTTAGTCCTGGTTAGTCCTGGTTTAGTCCTGGTTTAGTCCTGGTTTAGTCCTGGGTTTAGTCCTGGTCCTGGTTTAGTCCTGGTTTAGTCTGGTTTAGTCCTGGTTTAGTCTAGTCCTGTTTAGTCCTGGTTAGTCCTGGTCTAGTCCTGGTCTAGTCCTGGTCTAGTCCTGGTCTAGTCCTGGTCTAGTCCTGGTTTAGTCCTGGTCTAGACCTGGTTTAGACCTGGTTGAGTTCTCAGTTTTCAGATGTAAATGTGTTTCAGTTTTGTGTTTCAGTCGTGCAGATGTTTGAGTTTCAGTCGAATCAAAACGAAGCTCAGACCTAAAGCTGCACTCTGGAACTTTCACAGGCCCACACGTCTCCATGGAGACAGACGGGCTTAATGTCCCATGTCGTCATGGAGACAGGCAGGACAAAAGTTACACACTGAAGCTTTAAGAGTTCAGCAAATCCTCCAGGTCTAAACCAGGACTAGACCAGGTCTAAACCAGGTCTAAACAGGACTAAACCAGGACTAGACCAGGTCTAAACCAGGTCTAAACAGGATTAAACCAGGACTAGACCAGGTCTAAACCAGGTCTAAACAGGATTAAACCAAGAACTACACAAGGACTAAAACAGGACTAGACCAGGTCTAAACCAGGTCTAAACAGGATTAAACCAAGAACTACACAAGGACTAAAACAGGACTAAAACAGGACTGGACCAGGATTAAACCAGGTCTAAACCAGGTCTAACCCAGGACTAAATCAGGACTAAATCGAGACTAAACCAGGACTAAACCAGGACTGAAACACGAAACTGAAATTCATATTTACATTTGAAAACTGAGAACTGCAAACTGTCACACAGAGCCAGGACTAGACCAGGTCTAAACCGGGTCTAAACTGGGTCTAAACTGGTCTAAACTGGGTCTAAACTGGGTCTAAACCGGGTCTAAACCAGGTCTAAATCGGGTCTTGGTCTTGGTCTTGGTCTTGGTCTTGGTCTTGGTGATGTGGCGCTGTGTGAACAGAACATCTGCTCCTGTTTAAACTCTGGACTTTTACTGTAAAAAGAAAACAGCGTCTCCCAGTGGAAAAGACCAGAACAACACCTTAAACCACAGATTAAACACTACTACTACAAGTACTACAAGTACTACAAGTACTACAAGTACTACAAGTACTACTACAAGTACTACAAGTACTACTACTACTACTATTACTACTACTACAAGTACTACAAGTACTACAAGTACTACTACAAGTACTACAAGTACTACTACTACTATTACTACTACTACAAGTACTACAAGTACTACTACTACTAGTACTACTAGTACTACTATTACTACTACTACTACTACTACAAGTACTATTACTACTACTACTGCTACTACTACTGCTACAACAAGTACTACTATTATTACTATTACTACTACTACTACAAGTACTACTACTACTACTACAAGTACTACTACTACTATTACTACTACAAGTACTACTGCTGCTACGATTCTGTTCTCTGTTTGGGCGTTTTTGTGTCGGGAGGTGAGTGAACTTCACTATAACTTTAGAAAAACAGGTCTAAAACAGAACTAAACCAGGACTAAACCAGGACTGACTCAGGTCTAAGTCAGGTCTAAGTCAGGACTAAACCAGGACTGATTCAGGTCTAAGTCAGATCTAACTGAGGTCTAAGTCCGGTCCCGGTCCCCGTCAGCACAGGTCCCTGTTTCTCTCTGGACACTGTCTGTTCCTGGACCGAACGCGTGGCTCCGCCCCCCCGCCGCTGTAGTCTGGGGACAGGACGCAGGAGGGGGCGTGGTCTATGAAGCACCTGTTCAGGTAGGCCTCCTCCCGTCGCGAGGCCGTGACGCGCCGGGCGTGGTCCTGCAGCAGGAGCAGGGAGCAATTGCGCGCGAGTCGGAGCAGCGCCCCCACCGTGCCGCCGTACAGCTCCGACGTGTAAAACCACTCCCCCTCCTCCTGCGTCACCGCCGCCGCAGACTCCGCCCTCTCGTACGGAAGCTCACCTGGCGCTTTACCGAAAAAGTCCGAGTGAGCCACGCCCACCAGCTCGTCCAGAACCTCCTCCCCCACCTCCCCCACGAACTCCAGGTCCACGTCGGCGCAGAGCACGTAGTCCACGCCGCCCTCCTCCCTCGCCATGCCCCTCAGCACCTCCGCCAGCAGCGGCAGGCGCCGCGCGTACAGCCGCTCCCAGCCCGGCATCTCCGCCACCGGCACCACCCTGATGTCCCTGCCCGCGCGCAGCGGCGGGGGCGGGAGCAGCGCGCGCGGGTTGTCCGTCAGGATGTAGTAGGTGAGGGGCCGCCGCGGCAGGAAGTGCTCCTCCGCCGTAGACACGAAGCCCGGCAGGTAGAGGGCGTAGTTCCCCACCACCAGCGTCACCAGGGCCACGCGCAGCGGCGAGTCCCGGAAACGAGCTCTGCGCCGGGCCGCCAACGGAGACTCCGCCCACACCACCGGAGCGCCCCACGACGTGACGGTGACGGCGGAGGGGGCGGGGCCACGCGGCGAGGGGGGCGGGACTCCGTGCCAGAAAGAGACGACGGCGTGAGTGGGCGTGGGGGGGCGGGGCTTACGGCGCGGGACGAAGTCTGAGGAGAAAGAGACAGAGGGGAGGGGTCAGCGTCTGCGGGTCACACCTGCGTTTGACCCTCAGCGTCTGCGGGTCACACCTGCGTTTGACCCTCAGCGTCTGCGGGTCACACCTGCGTTTGACCCTCAGCGTCTGCGGGTCACACCTGCGTTTGACCCGCCCTCAGTGTCTCTGGACCCTGGGCTGGTCTGGGTCTGGACTCTGGAGGATTTGACCCGTTGTGGATGTTTTTTTCCAGAACAGTAAACAGTAAAAATCCTCCAGGAAAAGGAGGGAGATGTTTTGTCTGAAGCCTCCGTTTCTGTTTTAGTTAAGAAACAAGATTCTTCTTTAAACAGAAACGGCGGCTTCTGTTTCATATTTACAACTGAACAGATTCTGCTGATGTGGCACATGTGTGTGAGTTCCAGAGGAGTTTCAGTGTAGTGAGCTCCTCCTGCAGACAGATGTGAGGAAGTGTCACCAGCGTCTGACAAGAGCAGAGGAGGAACAGAGGAGCAGAGGAGCAGAGGAACAGAGAGCAGAGAGGAGAGAACAGAGGAACAGAGGAACAGAGAGGAACAGAGGAGGAACAGAGAACAGAGCAGAGGAGAACAGAGGAGAGAGGAGCAGGAGGAACAGAGGGAGGAGCAGAGAACAGAGGAGCAGAGAGCAGAGGAACAGAGGAAGCAGAGGAGAACAGAGCAGAGGAACAGAGGAGAACAGAGGCAGAGAACAGAGAACAGAGGAACAGAGGAACAGAGGAACAGAGGAGCAGAGGAACAGAGGAACAGAGGAACAGAGGAACAGAGGAACAGAGGAGCAGAGGAACAGAGGAGCAGAGGAACAGAGGAACAGAGGAGGACAGAGGAACAGAGCAGAGGACAGAGGAACAGAGGAGGACAGAGAGAACAGAGGAACAGAGGAACAGAACAGAGGAACAGAGGAACAGAGGAGGACAGAGCAGAGAACAGGAACAGAGGAACAGAGGAACAGAGGAACAGAGGAACAGAGGAACAGAGGAGCAGAGGAGGAGAGAGAGAGGAGCAGAGGAACAGAGGAACAGAGGAGCAGAGGAGGACACAGAGGAGCAGAGCAACAGAGGAGGACACAGAGGAGGTGAAGATACTCACACATGATGATGAAGAGGACGGTGCAGAGGAAGAGTTTGCGTCGGTGGATCCTGAACACTCCTGTTTCAAACAGTCAGATTTTATTGTTGTGTCACTGAGCAAAACACTTTCACTGTTTGTTTATGAGAGACTGACAAGGACACGGTTTAGACCTGGTTTAGTTCTGGTTTAGTTTAGACCTGGTTTAGTCCTGGTTTAGACCTGGTTTAGTCCTGGTTTAGACCTGGTTTAGTCCTGGTTTAGACCTGGTTTAGTTTTGGTTTTGAGTTTCACTGTTTCTTTAAAACTTGTGCTCTGCAAATGTTTTTCTCATTATTCGTTTGGGATCAGCTCCAAACCAGAACTAAACCAGAACTAAACCTGGTCTAGAGCAGAACTAAACCTGGTCTAGACCAGGACTAAACCAGAACTAAACTAGGACTAAACTAGGACTAAACTAGGTCTAGACCAGGTCTAGACCTGGTCTGCAGTTTTCTTTCAGATTTGTCTTTTCGTCTCGTCTGAAACATCTGAGACGATGACATCATCAAAGCGCCGCAGAGGTCGAAGGTGACACTGACCTGAGCCCAGCGCTGCCATGACGACGGCCCCACGCCACCTCTGACCCCCCCGCTCCGCCGCTCGGGTCACGCCTCGGGTCACGCCTCAGGTCGCTGCTCGGGTCGTTCCTCTCGTCCGTCTGGAGTCATTTTCTCTGCGTTTCTGTTCCACCAGAGTTTTCCAACGCTCCTCCCTCCTCCTCCCTCTCTCCTCCTCTCCTCCTCTCCTCCTCCTCTCTCTCCTCTCTCTCCTCCCTCTCTCCTCCTCCTCCTCTCCTCCTCCCTCTCCTCCTCCTCTCCTCCTCCTCCTCTCTCCTCCTCCTCTCTCTCCTCCCTCTCTCTCCTCCTCCCTCCTCCTCCCTCTCCTCCTCTCTCCTCCCTCTCTCTCCTCCCTCTCTCTCCCTCCTCCTCCTCTCTCTCCTCTCTCCTCCTCCTCCTCCTCCTCTCTCCCTCCTCTCCCTCTCTCCTCCCCTCTCCTCCTCTCCTCCTCTCCTCCTCCTCCTCTCTCCCTCTCTCTCCTCTCTCCCCTCTCCTCCTCCTCTCCTCCTCCTCCTCCTCCTCCTCCTCCTCCTCTCTCTCCTCTCCTCCTCCTCTCTCCTCCTCTCTCTCCTCTCTCTCTCCTCCCTTCTCTCCTCCCTCTCTCCTCCCTCTCTCTCCTCCTCCTCCTCTCCTCTCCTCCTCCTCCTCCTCCTCTCTCCTCCTCCCTCCTCCTCTCCTCCTCTCTCCTCCTCCCTCTCCTCCTCCCTCTCCTCCCTCTCTCCCTCTCCTCTCTCCTCCTCTCTCTCTCCTCCTCTCTCTCTCTCTCTCCTCCTCCTCCCTCTCTCCTCCTCCCTCCCTCTCCTCCTCTCTCTCCTCTCTCCTCCTCCTCCTCTCTCTCCTCCTCCTCCTCCTCTCCTCTCTCCTCCTCCTCTCCTCTCTCCTCCTCCTCTCCTCCTCCTCCTCCTCCTCCTCTCTCCTCCTCCTCTCTCCTCTCCTCCTCCTCCTCCTCCTCTCCTCCTCCTCTCTCTCCTCCCTCTCCTCCTCCTCTCTCTCTCCTCTCTCCTCCTCCTCTCCTCTCTCTCCTCCTCTCTCCTCTCTCCTCCTCTCCCTCCTCCTCCCTCTCTCCTCCTCTCTCCTCCTCTCTCCTCCTCCTCCTCCCTCTCTCTCCCTCTCCCTCTCTCCCTCTCTCCTCTCTCTCCTCCTCCCTCTCTCCTCTCTCCTCTCTCCTCCTCCCTCTCTCCTCCCTCTCTCCTCTCCCTCTCTCCTCCTCCTCTCTCCTCCTCCTCCTCTCCTCCCCCTCCTCCCTCCTCCTCCTCCTCCCTCTCCTCCTCTCCTCTCCTCCTCCTCCTCTCTCCCTCTCTCCTCTCTCTCCTCCCTCTCTCCTCCTCCTCTCTCCTCCTCCTCCTCTCTCTCCTCTCCTCCTCCTCTCCTCCTCCTCCCTCCTCCTCCCTCTCCTCCTCCTCTCTCCTCCTCTCTCTCCTCCTCCTCCCTCTCTCCCTCTCTCTCTCCTCTCTCCTCCTCTCTCTCTCTCTCTCCTCCTCTCCTCTCTCTCTCCTCTCTCCTCCTCTCTCCTCCTCCTCCTCTCCTCTCTCCTCTCCTCTCCTCCTCCCTCCTCCTCCTCCTCTCCTCTCCTCTCTCTCCTCCTCTCTCTCCCTCTCCCTCTCTTCCTCCCTCTCTCCTTCTCTTCTCTCCTCCCCCTCTCCTCCTCTCTCTCCTCTCTCCTCCTCCCTCTCTCCTCCCTCTCCTCCTCTCTCCCTCTCTCCTCTCTCTCCTCTCTCTCCTCCCTCCTCCCTCCTCCTCTCTCCCTCTCTCTCTCTCTCCTCCTCTCTCCTCCTCTCTCTCCTCCCTCTCCCTCCTCTCTCTCCTCCTCCCTCTCCTCTCCTTCTCCTCTCTCCTCTCTCCTCCTCCTCTCTCTCCTCTCTCCTCTCTCCCTCTCTCCTCCCTCTCTCCTCTCTCTCCTCTCTCTCTCTCCTCTCTCCTCCTCTCTCCTCCTCTCTCCTCTCTCCTCCTCTCCTCTCCTCCTCTCCTCCTCCTCTCTCCTCTCTCTCCTCCTCCTCCTCTCTCCTCCCTCTCTCTCTCCCTCTCCTCCTCCCTCTCTCCTCCTCCTCTCTCCTCCTCTCCTCCTCTCTCCTCTCTCCTCCTCTCTCTCCTCCCTCTCTCCTCCTCCTCCTCCTCTCCTCCTCCTCTCTCCTCCCCTCTCTCCTCTCTCCTCTCTCCTCCCTCTCTCCTCCCTCTCTCTCCCCTCCTCTCTCTCCTCTCCTCCCTCTCCCTCCCTCTCTCCTCCTCTCCTCCCTCTCTCCCCTCCTCCTCCTCCCTCCTCCTCCTCCCTCCTCTCCTCTCCTCTCTCCTCCTCTCTCCTCCTCTCTCTCCTCCCTCCTCCTCTCCTCTCCTCCCTCCTCCTCCTCTCCTCTCCTCTCTCCTCCTCCTCTCCTCCTCTCTCTCCTCCTCCTCTCTCCTCTCTCCTTCTCCTCCCCTCTCTCCTCCCCTCTCTCCTCCTCCCTCCTCCTCCCTCTCTCCTCCTCCCTCTCTCCTCTCTCTCTCCTCCCTCTCTCCTCTCTCCTCCTCCTCTCTCCTCCTCCCTCTCTCCCCCTCTCTCCCTCCTCCTCTCTCCTCCCTCTCCTCCCCTCTCTCCTCCTCCCTCTCTCCTCCCTCCTCTCTCCTCTCTCTCCTCTCTCCTCCTCTCTCCTCCCTCTCTCCTCCCTCTCTCCTCCTCCCTCTCCTCCCCCTCCTCTCCTCCTCCTCCTCTCCCTCCTCTCCTCCTCCTCTCCTCCTCTCCTCCCTCTCCTCCTCTCTCCTCCTCTCTCTCTCCCTCCTCCTCTCCTCCTCTCCTCCTCCTCCCTCTCTCCTCCCCTCTCCTCCTCTCCCTCTCCTCCTCTCTCTCCTCCTCCTCCTCCTCCTCCCTCTCTCCTCCTCTCTCTCCTCCTCTCCTCCCTCCTCTCCTCCTCTCTCTCCTCCTCCCTCTCCTCCTCCCTCTCTCCTCCTCCTCCTCTCTCCTCCTCCTCCTCCTCTCCTCCTCCTCCTCCTCCTCCTCCTCCTCTCTCTCCTCCTCCTCCTCCCTCTCTCTCCTCCCTCTCTCCTCCTCTCTCTCCCTCCTCTCCTCTCTCTCCTCTCCTCCTCTCCTCCCTCCTCTCTCCTCCTCTCCCTCTCTCTCTCCTCCCCTCTCTCTCCTCCTCCTCCTCCTCCTCCCTCTCTCCTCCTCTCCTCTCTCCTCTCTCTCTCTCCTCCTCTCTCTCCCTCTCTCTCTCTCTCTCCCCTCTCCCTCTCTCTCCTCCTCTCCTCCTCTCCCCTCTCCTCCTCCTCTCTCTCTCCTCCTCTCCTCTCTCCTCTCTCCTCTCCTCCTCCCCTCTCTCCTCCCTCTCTCCTCCCTCCTCTCCTCTCTCCTCCTCCTCTCTCTCCTCCTCCTCCTCCTCCTCTCCTCCTCCTCTCTCCTCCCTCTCTCCTCCCTCTCTCCTCCTCCTCTCTTCCTCCTCCCTCTCTCCTCCTCCTCTCCTCCTCCTCCTCCCTCTCTCCTCCTCCTCTCCTCTCTCTCCCCTCTCCTCCTCCCCTCCTCCTCCTCCCTCTCCTCTCCTCCTCCTCCTCTCTCCTCCTCCTCTCTCTCCTCTCTCCTCCTCCTCTCTCCTCCTCCCTCTCTCCTCCCTCTCTCCTCCTCTCTCTCTCCTCTCTCCTCCTCCCTCTCCTCCCCTCTCCTCCTCCCTCTCCTCCCTCTCCTCCTCTCTCTCCCTCTCTCCTCCCTCTCTCCTCCTCCCTCTCTCCTCCCTCTCTCCTCCTCCTCTCCTCCTCTCCTCTCTCCTCCTCTCTCTCCTCTCCTCCTCCCTCTCTCCTCCTCTCTCCTCCTCTCTCTCCTCCTCTCTCCTCTCTCTCTCCTCTCCTCTCTCTCTCCTCCCCCTCTCTCCTCCTCTCCTCTCTCCTCCTCTCTCTCCTCTCTCTCCTCTCCTCTCTCTCCTCTCCTCTCTCTCCTCTCTCTCCTCCTCTCCTCTCTCCTCCTCTCTCTCCTCCTCCTCTCCTCTCTCTCCTCTCTCTCTCCTCTCCCTCTCTCCTCCTCCTCTCTCCTCCTCTCTCCTCCTCTCTCTCCTCCTCTCTCCTCCTCTCTCTCTCCTCCTCCTCTCTCCTCCTCCTCCTCTCTCCTCTCTCTCTCCTCCTCTCTCCTCCTCTCCTCTCTCTCCTCTCCCTCTCTCTCCTCCTCCTCCTCCTCCTCCCTCTCTCCTCCTCTCTCTCCTCTCTCTCCCTCTCTCTCCTCTCCTCTCTCCTCTCTCCTCCTCTCTCCTCCTCCCTCTCTCCCTCTCTCTCTCCTCCTCTCTCTCCTCTCCTCTCCTCTCTCTCTCCTCCCTCTCTCTCTCTCTCTCCCTCCTCTCTCCTCCTCTCTCCTCTCTCCTCCCTCTCTCCTCCTCCTCCTCTCTCTCTCTCCTCTTTCTCTCTCTCTTTTCTCTTCTTTCTTCTCGGTCTGTATCTCTCTTTCCTCCTCTGATTTCTCCACCTCCCTTTTTTCCTTTTCTCCCCGTTTCCACCAGACGTCAGCACAAAACCAACTGTTCCTCCACGGACTCAAACAGACCTGGTTTAGTCCTGGTTTAGTCCTGGTTTAACCTGGTTTAGTTCTGGTTTAGTCCTGGTTTAGTTCTGGTTTAGTCCTGGTTTAGTCCTAGTCCTGGTTTAGTCCTGGTTTAGTTCTGGTTTAGTTCCTGGTTAGTCCTGGTTTAGTTCTGGTTTAGTTCCTGGTTTAGTTCTGGTTTAGTCCTGGTTTATCCTGGTTTAGACCTGGTTAGTCCTGGTTTAGTCCTGGTTTAGTCCTGGTTTAGTCCTGGTTTAGTCCTGGTTTAGCCTGGTTTAGTCCTGGTTTAGTCTGGTTTAGTCCTGGTTTGTTTAGTTCCTGGTTTAGTTTAGTTCTGGTTTAGTCCCTGGTTTAGTTCTGGTTTAGTCCTGGTTTAGTCCTGGTTTAGTCCTGGTTTAGTTTAGTCCTGGTTTAGTCCTGGTTTAGTTCCTGGTTTAGTCCTGGTTTAGTTTAGTCCTGGTTTAGTTTCCTGGTTTAGTCCTGGTTTAGTCCTGGTTTAGTTTTCCTGGTTTAGTCCTGGTTTAGTCCTGTTTAGTCCTGGTTTAGTCCTTAGTCCTGGTTTAGTCCTGGTTTAGTTTCCTGGTTTAGTCCTGGTTAGTCCTGGTTTAGTCTGGTTTTTAGTCCTGGTTTAGTCTGGTTTAGTCCTGGTTTAGTCCTGGTTTAGTCCTGGTTTAGTCCTGGTTTACCTGGTTTATTAGTCCTGGTTTAGTCCTGGTTTAGTCCTGGTTTAGTCCTGGTTTAGTTCCTGGTTAGACCTGGTTTAGTCCTGGTTAAGTCCTGGTTTAGTCTGGTTTAGACCTGGTTTAGTCCTGGTTTAGTCCTGGTTTAGTCCTGGTTTAGTCCTGGTTTAGGTTCTGGTTCATTAAAACAGATCCATGTGTCACTTTGCTCTTATTTCTTTATTTATTTATTTATTTATTCATTTATTTAGTTTAAATTTGACTTTTTACAGAAACAGATTAAACTTTGGACTAAAGCCTCAAACACAAACCACAAAAAGCAAAATTAAATATTAAATACAAATAAAATAAAATAAAATTAAATAAAAACATCTGAAATTTCACTTTTCCAAACTGTAAGGCTGTGACAGAAACTGTGCTTCAGATCCCAGAATGCACCTGTTTGTAGTTTTGTAGTTTTGTAGTCCACACGGCAGAGAAAGAAACTACAGGTTCAGCTTTTGGCAGTGTCTTATGATGTCATCAAACGGCGCGCAGACAAACCCGGGACTTTTACAAAAATATCAGATTTTTACGAACATTAAAACTGCACAAAACTCGAGTGGAAAAGAGCGGAGACCGGACCAGATTTAGACCTGGTCTAGACCTGGTTTAGACCTGGATTAGACCAGATTTAGACCTGGATTAGACCTGGTTTAGTCCTGGTTTAGACCTGGTTTAGACCTAGACCTGGTTTAGAGACCTGGTTTAGACCTGGGTTAGACCTGGTTTAGTCCTGGTTTAGACCTGGTTTAGACCTGGTTTAGATTTAGTTTAGACCTGGTTTAGACCTGGTTTAGACCTGGTTTAGACCTGGTTTAGACCTGGTTTAGACCTGGTTTAGACCTGGTTTAGACCTGGTTTAGACCTGGTTTAGACCTGGTTTAGACCTGGTTTAGACCTGGTTTAGACCTGGTTTAGACCTGGTCTGATGTAAAATACTGTTTTTCTTCACCCTGAGTAACTTCTTGTTTTCTTTCTTTTTATTCGGAGCTTTTGTCAAATTATTTGTGTTTTTGTCAAATCAAAGTGAATTTGCGTTTTTTTTTTGAGTTTTTTTTTTTTTCTTCGTTTAGTCAAATTAAACTTTCACTTTGTTGTTTTTTTTTTTTTTGGCTCCTGTTGCGTGTTTTTCTCTGAACATTTCTCCGTCTGTGAAACTTCTGTCAGATTCTCACGAAAAAACAAAATCGTCCGAGAATTTTACATTTACAATTCGGGTTTAAGACGTTTCACCCACATTTTACAATCACCGTCTGAGAATAAACACGTCTGAGAAGAATAAATCTGTAAGAAGAATAAAGTTGAAGCTCATGCTACAGCGGCCGGACGGGGAAAAGGCGATTATGAAGATGATTCTAAAAACATTTGGCAAATAAAGAGTAAAATCTGCAGCATTGAGTCGCCGACACTTTGACCTTTTGACCTTTTGACCTGCGCCTCGTTAAGATCCAGAAACAGATTTAGTTCCTCCGTCGTCGTCGTGTGGTTCATGAACAGGGCCGGACTCAGACTCGGGTCCGACTCGGGTCCGACTTGAGTTCCTCAAACACGCGGGAAAAAGTCAAAGTCCTGCCTGGTCTTTTGGAGTCTGTCTGTCTGGAGTTTTGTTGATGTTTATAAAGGCCCAAAGCTTCACGTTTCACCACAGACCGTAAAAAGTACTGGATTAGACCTGGTTTAGACCTGGTTTAGACCTGGTTTAGACCTGGTTTAGACCTGGTTTAGTCCTGGTTTAGACCTGGTTTAGACCTGGTTTAGTTTAGACCTGGTTTAGACCTGGTTTAGACCTGGTTTAGACCTAGGTTTAGACCCTGGTTTAGACCTGGTTTAGACCTGGTTTAGACCTGGTTTAGACCTGGTTTAGACCTGGTTTAGACCCAGTTTAGACCTGGTTTAGTTTAGACCCGGTTTAGACCTGGTTTAGACCTGGTTTAGACCTGGTTTTAGACCAGGTTTAGACCTGGTTTAGTTTAACCTGGTTTAGATCTAGTTTAGACCTGGTTTAGACCTGGTTTAGACCTGGTTTAGTCCCGGTTTAGACAGGGTCAGCCTTATTCAGAAGGCCCTCTAGTCAGAAGACCCATTAGTCAGAAGACCCTCTAGTCAGAAGAGCCTCTAGTCAGAAGACCCTCTAGTCAGAAGACCCTCTAGTCAGAAGACCCATTAGTCAGAAGACCCTCTAGTCAGAAGACCCTCTAGTCAGAAGAGCCTCTAGTCAGAAGGCCCTCTAGTCAGAAGAGCCTCTAGTCAGAAAATCCATGTTCAGGTCGTGTTACAAATTGTTACAAATGAAATTGTATTTCAAGTTTTAAATATTTTTTAAAGTAAATATTAAAAGTAATAAATATATTAAACCCTTAAAATGCAGCAAAAATGTTTGAGGAAATAATGATTTGGTGGAAATGTCGTCTTAAGTGGAACAGGGTGAATAATTATCTGATTTTCAGGCAACAACTTGCAAAATGTTCAGTAATTCGAGCTCTACAACCTTCATTTCTATTTTATTTTAAATCTTTTTCTTTTAATATAACATTGGTGGTTTGTAAACCAACACATTAAGTCATGTTGGTCTTAGCCGATGCTGTTATACATGATTATGTGTTTTCCCTGTCAATATCTCTAAAAATGTTGATGTTGCAGCCATTTTTAATTGGTAAACATTAAAAAGTTTATTAATTCTTCCCTGATCCAGGGATTATTCCCTGTTGTTTTCATCAAATAAACATTCAACTGTTCAAGAGAAATGTTACTGACAAACCAAGAGAAGAGGGAAGGATTTTCTGACCAGTGGGACTTTCTGATGATGAGGGTGTAACCGGTTTAGTCCTGGTTTAGATCTAGTTTAGACCTGGTTTAGATCTTGTTAAGTCCTGGTTTAGTCCTGGTTTAGAAAAGACCGGGCAGGACTTGTGTCCTGTAGAAAGAGTTTAGTAGAACATTTAAGACCAAAATGCTGAGGCCACAACAGCAGGTCCAGAGCTCAGGTCCAGATAAAGAGCAAAATTCTCAAGGAAGTTGATGGAGCCTGAAGATCGGCCGTGATCACTTCCTGTTTGGAACTCTGTGACGTTTCAGCCTGATGTTTTCACAGACGTGTTTGAGCTCTGGACTGAAGAGCCCGTGTGACCAACGCCGCTGTCGGGTCAGATCTGCTCAGCTCGAAATAATAAAACCAAAAAAAAACACAAAAAAAACCCACGATGTCGTTTTTTTAATTTTAGGAAAATCTCTAAAATCTGAAAATCAAACGTCCCGGTGTGTTTGGAGGAACTGAAGTCGAGCCTGTGAGGCGTGAGGGGAAAGTCCAGGTGCGGCCCTGTCCACACACCTGCACAGCTCTGTAAATGCTCCTGTCGCTCCTGTCGCTCCTGTCGCTCCTGTCGCTGGCTCATGGAAGTATAAGTTGTGGTTATAGGTCCATGTGCTGCTCCTGGTGCTCGTGTCGCTGGTGTGGGGCAGATTGTGCGGGCGGATCAGGTTGTATCAGGTCGTATCAGGTCGTATCAGGTCGTATCGGGTCGTACCGGGTCGTACCGGGTCATATCCGGTCGTCTCCGAGCAGCTGGAGCAGCGCCTGCAGGAGGCGGTCGTCGCGGTGCCGGTATCCGTCCTGGTAGAAGCGGTCGACGTAGCGGGCGTACAGCGGGTCCTGCGGCGGCGTCTGGATCCGGGTGATCAGGTCCAGGGCCCGGTACAGCGCCTGGGGGGGGAGTCTGGACGGAGACGCCCCCGGGGACGGCCTCGTCCGGGGGGAGGAACGAGGACCCGACCCCCCCGAGAGCGGAGGGACTGGAGTCTGTCGGCCGAAGGCGACCTGCAGGAGGCGCTGCAGAGCCACAGAGGCGGGGTCAGAGGAGGAGGCGGGGTCAGAGGAGGAGGCAGAGTCAGAGGGGGCGGGGTCAGAAGAAGAGGCGGGGTCAGAGGAGCGTTCTCTCTCTGTGTTGGGCGGAGTCTCTGTTTGGGGGAGGGGCTGCTCCTCGGTGGGTTCCTGTGGAGAGGTCAGAGGTCAGAGGTCAGACACTGGGCTATAATGCATTTATACAAACATCAAGAATCTCAGACTTCGGGTCATTGTGCAGGTCACACTGGGAAGGATCCTCAGAAAAAGTGATGATCAAACCTCCATGTTTGTTTTCCCAGTGGGACGTGTCTGTTGACAAAGTCGATCTTTTCAAGTCTTTTGAACCATTTCACTTTTGTTTCTGGTTCTGATATTGTCAATATTTTAGTTTTGGGATTCGAACATCGTATTTGTGTGGTTGTTGGATCCTAACAGCGGAAAACGACTCGAGAAATGTGTTTGTGATAAAAGTGAATCAGATGTGTGTGACTCAAACCTCGTTCAAACTGTTTCTCTTCCCAACAGAATTGAAAAATAGTGAAAGGTGAAGGTGATGGGCAGGATTGATCCACAGGAAGAACCAAAAAGGAAACATTTGACTGACTAAAATCATCCTGAGTTTACAGAGAACATTTTGTATGTGGAGCCACGACAAAACAAAATCCGGTTTGTTAATGTATGAGGAGCAGAAGACAAACAGACTGAGCTGCTTTCTTGTTCTTGTGGTTTTACCAAACATCACGTCTTGGTCTTTGCAGTGGAAGGTGTGTTCTTGGTGAACAGTTGGAGACTTTCACTTTGACTTTTTAAATTCATAACCGAGGTTGAAGCGAAGGATCGGGGTTTTGTTTTGTCGTTGCTCCACATACAAAATGTTCTCTGTAAACTCAGGATGATTTAGTCAGACAAATGTTTCCTTTTTGGTTCTTCCTGTGGATCAATCCTGCCCATCACCTTCACCTTTCACCTATTTCTTCAATTTCCGGGAAGAGAAACAGTTTGAACGAGGTTTGAGTCACACACACATCTGATTCACTTTTACATTTATGCACAAACACATTTCTCGAGTCGTTTTCCACTGTTTGGATCCAACAACCACACAATAACGATGTTCGAATCCCAAAACTAAAATATGACAATATCAGAACCAGAAACAAAAGTGAAATGGTTCAAAAGACTTGAAAAGATCGACTTTGTCAACAGACACGTCCCACTGGGAAAACAAACATGGAGGTTTGATGATCACTTTTTCAGAAAATCCTTCCCAGTGTGAATTGTGCAATGACCCGAAGTCTGAGATTCTTGATGCGTGCGTTCTGTGAGGGTGCAGTACCACGCCTGACCCCAGGGGGCGCTTCTGTTTGTGACGTGAGTTTTTGTGTCAGTTTCAAAAGAACAGGTGATGTTTAGTGTTTCAGCTGAACTTCTGTCAAATGGAAACTCTGATATTTACAGTGAAATGTGTCAGAAAAAGTTTGTTTTGACATAAAACTTAACGAGGGAAAATTCTAAACATGCGTAAGATTTATCAAATTTTAAGTTTTACTCTTTTTATGAAAAAAATAAATAAACAAATCAGCACCAGAGTTGAGTTTATAATGTCATATTTAAGCAAATTGTCAAATTCTTCAAAACTTTAGAAAAAAAACAAAACATTTTTAACGTGCTACTCTTTATTTGTAGATCTCAGTTTGTGTTTTCATCATTTTAAAGAAAATAAGTTATTTTAAATATAATTCAGTTTTAACTGTGTGAAATCTGAAGGACATTTTTAACAGAAAAATGTTTTTTAGTCCATACGGCTTCCTTCAAACATCTGACCGAACCCTTCCCCCGCCGCCCCGCCCCCCGCCCCCCCGCCGCCCGCCCCCCCCCCGCCGCCCCCGCCGCCGCCCCCCCGCCGCCCCCGCCCCCCGCCCCCGCCGCCGCCCCCCCCGCCCCGCCGCCCCCCCCCCGCCTCACCTCCATGCGCTCCACCCCTCGGCGGTCGTTCTGGACGGGGTTGTACGGTGTGTAGACTCGAGGTTTCTTCATGTGGTCTGGTTTCTCAGAGGTTCCGTGAAGAATCAACTTCCAGCTCAAGATCCGTCCTTTGTTCTCCATCCGCCCGGACTGAGGGAGAGAAACCAGGTCTGAACCAGGTCTAAACCAAACTAAACCAGGTCTGAACCAGGTCTAAACCAGGTCTGAACCAGAACTAAACCAGGTCTGTCTAAACCAGGTCTGAAACCAAACTGAACCAGGTCTGAACCAGGTCTGAGGTCTGAACCAGGTCTGAACCAGAACTAAACCAGGTCTGTCTAAACCAGACCAGGTCTAAAACCAGGTCTGAACCAGGTCTAAACCAGTCTGAACTAAACCAGGTCTGAACTAAACCAGGTCTGAACCAGGTCTAAACAGGTCTGAACCAGGTCTGAACTAGAACTAAACCAGGTCTCTCTGAACCAGGTCTGAACCAGGTCTGAACCAGGTCTGTCTAAACCAGGTCTAAACCAGGTCTGAACCAGAACTAACCAGGTCTGAACCAGGTCTGAACCAGAACTAAACCAGGTCAGGTCTGAACAGGTCTGAACAGGTCTGAACCAGAACCAGGTCTGAACCAGGTCTAAACCAGGTCTAAACCAGGTCTAAACCAGGTCTAAACCAGTCTGACCAGGTCTAAACCAGGTCTGAACCAGGTCTGAACCAGGTCTGAACCAGACTAAACCAGGTCTGTCTAAACCAAACTAAACCAGGTCTAGGTCTGAACCAGGTCTGAAACCAGGCTCTAAACCAGGTCTAAACCAGGTCTGAACCAGGTCTGAACCAGGTCTGAAAACCAGGTCTGAACCAGGTCTGAACCAGAACTAAACCAGGTCTAAACCAGGTCTNAAAAAGCAAAATTAAATATTAAATACAAATAAAATAAAATCAAATTAAATAAAAACATCTGAAATTTCACTTTTCCAAACTGTAAGGCTGTGACAGAAACTGTGCTTCAGATCCCAGAATGCACCTGTTTGTAGTTTTGTAGTTTTGTAGTCCACACGGCAGAGAAAGAAACTACAGGTTCAGCTTTTGGCAGTGTCTTATGATGTCATCAAACGGCGCGCAGACAAACCCGGGACTTTTACAAAAATATCAGATTTTTACGAACATTAAAACTGCACAAAACTCGAGTGGAAAAGAGCGGAGACCGGACCAGATTTAGACCTGGTCTAGACCTGGTTTAGACCTGGTTTAGACCTGGCTTAGACCTGGTTTAGACCTGTTTAGACCTTTTAGTCCTGGTTTAGACCTGGTTTAGACCTGGTTTAGACCTGGTTTAGACCTGGTTTAGACCTGGTTTAGACCTGGTTTAGAGACCTGGTTTAGTCCTGGTTTAGACCTGGTTTAGACCTGGTTTAGTGGTTTAGACCTGGTTTAGACCTGGTTTAGACCTGGTTTAGTCCTGGTTTAGACCTGGTTTAGACCTGGTTTAGACCTGGTTTAGACCTGGTTTAGACCTGGTTTAGACTGGTTTACCTGGTTTAGACCTGGTTTAGACCTGGTTTACCTGGTTTAGACCTGGTTTAGACCTGGTCTGATGTAAAATACTGTTTTTCTTCACCCTGAGTAACTTCTTGTTTTCTTTCTTTTTATTCGGAGCTTTTGTCAAATTATTTGAGTTTTTGTCAAATCAAAGTGAATTTTCGTGAATTTTGTGAGTTTTTTTTTTTTCTTCGTTTAGTCAAATTAAACTTTCACTTTGTGTGTTTTTTTTTTTTTTTTGGCTCCTGTTGCGTGTTTTTCTCTGAACATTTCTCCGTCTGTGAAACTTCTGTCAGATTCTCACGAAAAAACAAAATCGTCCGAGAATTTTACATTTACAATTCGGGTTTAAGACGTTTCACCCACATTTTACAATCACCGTCTGAGAATAAACACGTGTGAGAAGAATAAATCTGTAAGAAGAATAAAGTTGAAGCTCATGCTACAGCGGCCGGACGGGGAAAAGGGGATTATGAAGATGATTCTAAAAACATTTGGCAAATAAAGAGTAAAATCTGCAGCATTGAGTCGCCGACACTTTGACCTTTTGACCTTTTGACCTGCGCCTCGTTAAGATCCAGAAACAGATTTAGTTCCTCCGTCGTCGTGTGGTTCATGAACAGGGCCGGACTCAGACTCGGGTCCGACTCGGGTCCGACTTGAGTTCCTCAAACACGCGGGAAAAAGTCAAAGTCCTGCCTGGTCTTTTGGAGTCTGTCTGTCTGGAGTTTTGTTGATGTTTATAAAGGCCCAAAGCTTCACGTTTCACCACAGACCGTAAAAAGTACTGGATTAGACCTGGTTTAGACCTGGTTTAGACCTGGTTTAGACCTGGTTTAGACCTGGTTTAGATCTAGTTTAGACCTGGTTTAGACCTGGTTTAGACCTGGTTTAGACCTGGTTTAGACCTGGTTTAGACCTGGTTTAGACCTGGTTTAGTTTTAGACCTGGTTTAGACCTGGTTTAGATCTAGTTTAGACCTGGTTTAGACCTGGTTTAGACCTGGTTTAGACCTGGTTTTAGACCAGGTTTAGACCTGGTTTAAACCTGGTTTAGATCTAGTTTAGACCTGGTTTAGACCTGGTTTAGACCTGGTTTAGTCCCGGTTTAGACAGGGTCAGCCTTATCATCAGAAGGCCCTCTAGTCAGAAGACCCATTAGTCAGAAGACCCTCTAGTCAGAAGAGCCCCTAGTCAGAAGAGCCTCTAGTCAGAAGACCCTCTAGTCAGAAGACCCTCTAGTCAGAAGACCCATTAGTCAGAAGACCCTCTAGTCAGAAGACCCTAGTCAGAAGAGTCAGTCAGAAGGCCTCTAGTCAGAAGACCCTCTAGTCAGAAGAGCCTCTAGTCAGAAAATCCATGTTCAGGTCGTGTTACAAATTGTTACAAATGAAATTGTATTTCAAGTTTTAAATATTTTTTAAAGTAAATATTAAAAGTAATAAATATATTAAACCCTTAAAATGCAGCAAAAATGTTTGAGGAAATAATGATTTGGGTGGAAATGTCGTCTTAAGTGGAACAGGGTGAATAATTATCTGATTTTCAGGCAACAACTTGCAAAATGTTCAGTAATTCGAGCTCTACAACCTTCATTTCTATTTTATTTTAAATCTTTTTCTTTTAATATAACATTGGTGGGTTTGTAAACCAACACATTAAGTCATGTTGGTCTTAGCCGATGCTGTTATACATGATTATGTGTTTTCCCGTCAATATCTCCAAAAATGTTGATGTTGCAGCCATTTTTAATTGGTAAACATTAAAAAGTTTATTAATTCTTCCCTGATCCAGGGATTATTCCCTGTTGTTTTCATCAAATAAACATTCAACTGTTCAAGAGAAATGTTACTGACAAACCAAGAGAAGAGGGAAGGATTTTCTGACCAGTGGGACTTTCTGATGATGAGGGTGTAACCGGTTTAGTCCTGGTTTAGATCTAGTTTAGACCTGGTTTAGATCTTGTTAAGTCCTGGTTTAGACCTGGTTTAGATCTTGTTAAGTCCTGGTTTAGTCCTGGTTTAGAAAAGACCGGGCAGGACTTGTGTCCTGTAGAAAGAGTTTAGTAGAACATTTAAGACCAAAATGCTGAGGCCACAACAGCAGGTCCAGAGCTCAGGTCCAGATAAAGAGCAAAATTCTCAAGGAAGTTGATGGAGCCTGAAGATCGGCCGTGATCACTTCCTGTTTGGAACTCTGTGACGTTTCAGCCTGATGTTTTCACAGACGTGTTTGAGCTCTTGACTGAAGAGCCCGTGTGACCAACGCCGCTGTCGGGTCAGATCTGCTCAGCTCGAAATAATAAAACCAAAAAAAAAACAAAAAACCCCACGATGTCGTTTTTTTGATTTTAGGAAAATCTCTAAAATCTGAAAATCAAACGTCCCGGTGTGTTTGGAGGAACTGAAGTCGAGCCTGTGAGGCGTGAGGGGGAAAGTCCAGGTGCGGCCCTGTCCACACACCTGCACAGCTCTGTAAATGCTCCTGTCGCTCCTGTCGCTCCTGTCGCTCCTGTCGCTGGCTCATGGAAGTATAAGTTGTGGTTATAGGTCCATGTGCTGCTCCTGGTGCTCGTGTCGCTGGTGTGGGGCAGATTGTGCGGGCGGATCAGGTTGTATCAGGTCGTATCAGGTCAGTCGTATCGGGTCGTATCGGGTCGTACCGGGTCGTACCGGGTCATATCCGGTCGTCTCCGAGCAGCTGGAGCAGCGCCTGCAGGAGGCGGTCGTCGCGGTGCCGGTATCCGTCCTGGTAGAAGCGGTCGACGTAGCGGGCGTACAGCGGGTCCTGCGGCGGCGTCTGGATCCGGGTGATCAGGTCCAGGGCCCGGTACAGCGCCTGGGGGGGGAGTCTGGACGGAGACGCCCCGGGGGACGGCCTCGTCCGGGGGGAGGAACGAGGACCCGACCCCCCCGAGAGCGGAGGGACTGGAGTCTGTCGGCCGAAGGCGACCTGCAGGAGGCGCTGCAGAGCCACAGAGGCGGGGTCAGAGGAGGAGGCGGGGTCAGAGGAGGAGGGGGCAGAGTCAGAGGGGGCGGGGGTCAGAAGAAGAGGCGGGGTCAGAGGAGCGTTCTCTCTCTGTGTTGGGCGGAGTCTCTGTTTGGGGGAGGGGCTGCTCCTCGGTGGGTTCCTGTGGAGAGGTCAGAGGTCAGAGGTCAGACACTGGCTATAATGCATTTATACAAACATCAAGAATCTCAGACTTCGGGTCATTGTGCAGGTCACACTGGGAAGGATCCTCAGAAAAAGTGATGATCAAACCTCCATGTTTGTTTCCCAGTGGGACGTGTCTGTTGACAAAGTCGATCTTTTCAAGTCTTTTGAACCATTTCACTTTTGTTTCTGGTTCTGATATTGTCATATTTTAGTTTTGGGATTCGAACATCGTATTTGTGTGGTTGTTGGATCCTAACAGCGGAAAACGACTCGAGAAATGTGTTTGTGAACTTCATAAATGCAAAAGTGAATCAGATGTGTGTGACTCAAACCTCTGTTCAAACTGTTTCTCTTCCCAACAGAATTGAAAAATAGTGAAAGGTGAAGGTGATGGGCAGGATTGATCCACAGGAAGAACCAAAAAGGAAACATTTGTCTGACTAAATCATCCTGAGTTTACAGAGAACATTTTGTATGTGGAGCGACGACAAAACAAAATCCGGTTTGTTAATGTAGAGGAGCAGAAGACAAACAGACTGAGCTGCACTTTCTTGTTCTTGTGGTTTTACACAAACATCACGTCTTGGTCTTTGCAGTGGAAGGTTTTTCTTGGTGAACAGTTGGAGACTTTCACTTTGACTTTTTAAATTCATAACCGAGGTTGAGCGCGAGATCGGGGTTTTGTTTTGTCGTTGCTCCACATACAAAATGTTCTCTGTAAACTCGGGATGATTTAGTCAGACAAATGTTTCCTTTTTGGTTCTTCCTGTGGATCAATCCTGCCCATCACCTTCACCTTTCACTATTTTTCAATTCCGTTGGGAAGAGAAACAGTTTGAACGGAGGTTTGAGTCACACACATCTGATTCACTTTTGCGTTTCTCGAGTCATTTTCTGCTGTTTGGATCCAACAACCACACGATTTAACGATGTCCGAATCCCAAAACTAAAATATGACAATATCAGAACCAGAAACAAAAGTGAAATGGTTCAAAAGACTTGAAAAGATCGACTTTGTCAACAGACACGTCCCACTGGAAAACAAACATGGAGGTTTGATGATCACTTTTTCAGAAAATCCTTCCCAGTGTGAATTGTGCAATGACCAGAAGTCTGAGATTCTTGATGCGTGCGTTCTCGTCAGGGTGCAGTACCACGCCTGGACCCCAGGGGGCGCTTCTGTTTGTGACGTGAGTTTTTGTGTCAGTTTCAAAAGAACAGGTGATGTTTAGTGTTTCAGCTGAACTTCTGTCAAATGGAAACTCTGATATTTACAGTGAAATGTGTCAGAAAAAGTTTGTTTTGACATAAAACTTAACGAGGGAAAATTCTAACATGCGTAAGATTTATCAAATTTTAAGTTTTACTCTTTTTATGAAAAAAATAAATAAACAAATCAGCACCAGAGTTGAGTTTATAATGTCATATTTAAGCAAATTGTCAAATTCTTCAAAACTTTAGAAAAAAAACAAAACATTTTTAACGTGCTACTCTTTATTTGTAGATCTCAGTTTGTGTTTTCATCATTTTAAAGAAAATAAGTTATTTTAAATATAATTCAGTTTTAACTGTGTGAAATCTGAAGGACATTTTTAACAGAAAAATGTTTTTAGTCCATACGGCTCCTTCAAACATCTGACCGAACCCTTCCCCGCCGCCCCGCCGCCGCCCCCGCCGCCCGCCGCCCCCCCGCCCCCCCGCCGCCCCCGCCGCCCCCGCCCCCGCCGCCGCCCCGCCGCCCCGCCGCCCCCGCCTCACCTCCATGCGCTCCACCCCTCGGCGGTCGTTCTGGACGGGGTTGTACGGTGTGTAGACTCGAGGTTTCTTCATGTGGTCTGGTTTCTCTGAGGTTCCGTGAAGAATCAACTTCCAGCTCAAGATCCGTCCTTTGTTCTCCCATCCGCCCGGACTGAGGGAGAGAAACCAGGTCTGAACCAGAACTAAACCAGAACTAAACCAGGTCTGAACCAGGTCTGAACCAGGTCTGAACCAGGTCTAAACCAGGTCTGAACCAGGTCTAAACCAGGTCTAAACCAGGTCTGAACCAGGTCTAAACCAGAACTAAACCAGGTCTAAACAGGTCTAAACCAGGTAACCAGGTCTGAACCAGGACTAAACCAGGTCTGAACCAGGTCTAAACCAGGTCTGAACCAGGTCTGAAAAGAACTAACCAGGTCTGAACCAGGTCTGAACCAGGTCTGAAACCAGGTCTGAACTAACCAGAACAGGTCTGAACCAGAAACTAAACCAGGTCTGAACCAGGTCTGAACCAGGTCTGAACCAGGTCTAAACCAGGTCTGAACCAGAACTAAACCAGGTCTGAACCAGGTCTGAACCAGGTCTAAACCAGGTCTGAACCAGGTCTAAACCAGAACTAAACCAGGTCTAAACAGGTCTAAACCAGGTCTAAACCAGGTCTGAACCAAGTCTGAACCAGGTCTGAACCAGAACTAAACCAGGTCTGAACCAGAACTAACCAGGTCTGAACAGGTCTAAACCAGAACCCAGTCTGAACCAGGTCTGAAAGGTCTGAACCAGGTTGAACCAGGTCTAAACCAGAACTAAACCAGGTCTGAACCAGGTCTAAAACCAGGTCTGAACCAGGTCTGAACCAGGTCTGAACCAGGTCTAAACCAGGTCTGAACCAGAACTAAACCAGAACCAGGTCTGAACAGGTCTGAACCAGGTCTGAACCAGGTCTAAACCAGAACTAAAGTCTGAACCAGGTCTAAACCAGGTCTGAACCAGGTCTGAACCAGGTTGAACCAGGTCTAAACCAGGTCTGAACCAGAACTAAACCAGGTCTAACCAGGTCTAAACCAGGTCTGAACCAGGTCTGAACCAGGTCTGAACCAGGTCTGAACCAGGTCAACCAGGTAAACTAAACCAGGTCTGAACCAGGTCTGAACCAGGTCTGAACCAGAACTAAAACCAGGTCTGAACCAGAACTAAACCAGGTCTAAACAGGTCTGAACCAGAACTAAACCAGGTCTGAAACCAGGTCTAAACCAGGTCTAAACCAGGTCTCTGAACCAGGTCTGAACTGAACAGGTCTGAAAGGTGAACCAGGTCTGAACCAGAACTAAACCAGGTCTAAACCAGGTCTGACCAGAACTAAACCAGGTCTGAACCAGGTTGAACCAGGTCTGAACCAGTGAACTAAAACTAAACCAGGTCTGAACCAGAACTAAACAACCAGGGTCTGAACCAGGTCTAAACCAGAAACCAGTAAACCAGGTCTGAACCAGGTCAGAACTAAACCAGGTCTGAACCAGAACTAAACCAGGTCTAAACCAGGTCTAAACCAGGTCTAAACCAGGTCTAAACCAGGTCTGAACTAAACCAGGTCTGAACCAGGTCTGAACCAGGTCTAAACCAGGTTTAAACCAGGTCTGAACCAGAACTAAACAGGTCTGAACCAGAACTAAACCAGGTCTAAACCAGGTCTAAAACCAGGTCTGAACCAGTCTGAACCAGAACTAAACCAGGTCTGAACCAGAACCAGGTCTGAAACCAGAAACCAGGTCTAAACCAGGTCTGAACCAGGTCTAAACCAGGTCTGAACCAGGTCTCAACCAGGACTAAACTGGATCTTAACTGGATCTGAACCAGGACTCACGGTGTCTGTGATCTTGAGGGTCCAGGTCCCGGTGGGATCTTCTCCCCAGGTGTGCACAGACATGAAGTACCAGTTTCTGAAGCCGCTGGCAGAAGTGTCCCTCTCCCGCTCGGCCAGAAGCACCGTGGGGGTCCCTGAAACACACAGGTCAGAGGTCAGGGGTGGGCGGGGTCAGGTGGGACCTGCCGGCGAGGTGAGAGTGATGTGCAGGTCTTATGAGTTAGGTGTTTGTGGGCGTGGTTTTGTGTCAGTGGGTGGGGTCTTGTGGTCTTGTGGGTGGGGTCAGTGGGGTCAGGTCAGGTCAGGTGTGGTGTGTGTGTGGTCAGGTGGCTTTGTGGGTGGGGTCAGGTGTCAGTGGGTGGGGTCAGGTCTTTGTGTGTGTGGTCAGGTGCTTGTGGGTGGGGTCAGGTGTCAGTGGGTGGGTCAGGTCTTTGTGTGTGTGGTCAGGTGCTTGTGGGTGGGGTCAGGTCAGGTGGTCAGGTGGGCAGTGGGCGGGTCAGGTGTCAGTGGGCGGGGTCAGGTGTCAGTGGGCGGGGTCAGGTGTCAGTGGGCGGGGTCAGGTGTCAGTGGGCGGGGTCAGGTGGTACCTGCCGGCGAGGTGAGCGTGATGTGCAGGTCTCCTCTCCTCGTGTACTCGATGCTCGCCTCCACCTGGACGTGCTCCAGCGACGACACGGCGTTTTCCTGCCCCCTGCACGCACCTGTCGGGATCTCTATGGTGATTTCACCTGCCGCCTTCAACTCCCTGTCGACGGAGAGAAAAGAGAGAGGGATGAGAAAAGAGAGAAAAGAGGGATGAGAAGGAGGAGAGAGAGGAGGAGGAGGAGGAGGTGGAGGAGGAGGAGGAGGAGGAGGAGGAGGTGGAGGAGGTGGAGGAGGTGGAGGAGGAGGAGGAGGTGGAGGAGGAGGTGGAGGAGGAGGTGGAGGAGGTGGAGTCTGGATGAACAGATCAGATGAAAGAGGAAATGACTGAACTTTATGATCATGATCCTGAACCAGACACGAGTAAATACAGAGTACTTGAGTATATACAGAGTACTTGAGTACATAGAGAGTACTCGAGTACATAGAGAGTACATAGTATATACAGTATATAGAGTACGTGTAGTATGTATTTGTGTATCTGTACCTGGGCTGGATGTAGTACATGTACATGTAGTACATGTAGTATGTACATGGTAACATGTACTACATGTAGTACATGTAGTACATGTACTTAGTACATGTACTACATGTACACATGTAGTTGTAGTACATGTAGTACGTAGTAGTCACCTGTCGCCAGGTGTCAGGGTGCGACAGGTCGACCAGAGCTTTGGCGTTGAGGAGACCGAAGCCGAACCTGCTGTTCACCATAAGCCCCGCCCCGTTTCTCTTCCAGCCCGGGTTCCCCGCCAGAGGATCAAACTCCGACGTCCACACCACCAGGTGCTGCAGGTCCCTCCAGGTCAACTCTGGACTAAACACAAGTACTGTTACTACAAATACTACTACAAATACTACAAATACTACTGCAGGTCCCTCCAGGTCAGTACTTTTCAGTACTTGTTGGTAGTACTCGTTGTAGTATTTGCAGTACTCTTCAGTACTTGTACTCACTTCTGTTCCAGCGCGAGGGCGAAGATCCCGGCGGCGAGAGGAGCCGAGGCCGACGTCCCCGTGTGCGTCTCTGTGCACTCGTCATGAAGATCTGCACTGGTCTAAAGAACACACAAAAAACACACAATATAACACAAAAAACACACAATATAACACAACACACAAAAACACACAATATAACACACAAAAACACACACACAAACACACACAATATAACACACAAAACACACAAAACACAACACACACAATATAACACACAAAACACACACACAAAACACACAATATAACACACAAAACACACAATGACACATATACAGGGCACACAGGGGTCTGGGTCAGGGGGCGGGTCTGGGTCAGGGGCGGGGTGGGGTCTGGGTCAGGGGGCGGGGTCTGGGTCAGGGGGGGGTCAGGGGGCGGGGTCTGGTCAGGGGGCGGGGTCTGGGTCTGGGTCAGGGGGCGGGGTCTGGGTCAGGGGGCGGGTCTGGGTCAGGGGGGGTCTGGGTCAGGGGGCGGGGTCTGGGTGGGGGGGCGGGGTCTGGGTCAGGGGGCGGGGTGTGTGGTCGCGGGGGGGCATCAGGCGCACTCACGATCCTCTGGTCGGTGTAGTCGCCGCTGCTGTAGGCCGTGGCGAGCGTGGACGAGCACTTCTCGGCGTACCACGGCGAGCGCCCGTGCTGAGACGCGCTGGAGATGGACACGGTGTAGATACTGTCTGTGTAACCGTCACAGTCGCAGTTATCGCCCTGACGACCGCCGTTCCCCGACGCCCACACGAAGATCGAACCCTTACCCCCGCGACCCTGAAGAGGAGAGGAAGAGGAAGAGGAAGAGGAGGAGAAGAGGAGGAAGAAGAGGAGGAGGAGGAGAGAAGGAGAGTGAGTGAAGGTGCAGAGTGAATCCCAGTCCAGTCTGACAAACAAAATCTGATCTGATCTTGTTCTGTGGAAAAACTGCTCAACGTGAAACACAGAAAATAAAAAATAGCTACACAGGAAGTCATCATTCTGACATTTAAACTCGTAATTCTGACTTTTAAACTCATCATTCCGACTTTTAAACTTGTAATTCTGACTTCCTGTGAGGCTTCCATAAAAATGTGACCTGAAATAAACTGAAAATGTGTTTGTGAAAAGTGCAGCTGCAGTGTTTGTTGAGTTCAGTGTGAGAGACGAGTCCCGTCTGTTTCTAAACTCAGAGTCCTCGGTGTTTGAGTTCTTGTTGGTTGTATATGATTGTATAGAGTTACATATATAAAGTATATATATTTAGGTTATGCATATATATATGTACCTTCTGTATTCCGTGCTCGAAGGCCTTGGTGGCCAGTCTGCCGGGCCCCTCCACCGTCTTGCCGTCGTCGTTGGGGCCCCAGCTGGCGCTGTAGATGTCCACGTGGTCGGGGTTAAACCCGATGGAACTCGCCTCGATGGCGTCCGTCACGATCCCGTCCAACATACGGATCCCTGTATATAACACCAAACATATATATACTGTTAATATACAACATACAGACCAATATATAACACCACATATATACAGTTAATATACAGTAAACACATATATAAACTCATATATAAGAGCATATCTACAGTATAATGTATAACAGAAGAGTATATATATATATATATATATATATAT